TGTCAATATGATTGTGACATGGTGGGGTCGCTGTGTGCACACGGCATGTACGTGGCTTGCAAGAGCAAGCAGCATAGAGAAGCGCGACAGCCGCGCGGCTATTGAGGCTCACGAGTGTTTTCCAGCAAAAAGGCACTGTGTCGCTGCTTTAGGAGGCTTGCCGTCTGCTCATTGAAAGACGTAGGCGCCACTAAGTGACCTGACAAACGAATGCGCAGAACAAAAACATGCCATAATTCACTCCATATAGCGAGGCTGATCGCCAGCTTCAGGCTCAAGCAGGTGAGTATGACATGACTGATGACCGATGCCACTTTCCGGACTGGCGTGGCACATCCTAAGCCCTGCAGTCATAGAACGTCTGCGCCTATGTATGATCTCTGCCATGCCAAGTCGTCAGGCAAGAGTTTTCACATACAAATAAAGCCAGCAACGGCAAGGCCACACAACGAGAATACCGAACAAAAATCTTATGTTTTCGCCGGCCGCATCAAATATGATGGTATCCGACCTTCCTCCGCCTTCTAGGCGTCGTCTGGAGGGCAAGGCTCTGACAGAGTGCTGTGCAATTGTGAGGCTAAAGTTCATTGAACGATAGAAGCGACAAAAGGCGTCTTGCCTCCTCCGGAAGCACGCGCTTTGGGTTGGGCTTCTGGGCTGAAGGAAGCAAGCTGGACAGAACCCTCAGCTATGACGGAAAACATGTGCCTTGCATGTAAGCTTTTCACAGCAGCCCTGACCTGACCCATCCCAGGGGTATGCTGTGTATCGCTGTGGCTTCGGCAACTGCCTGGACACCCGGGGCTGCGAGACCTCGTCCGAGGAGGCCGAAAAGGGCATCCTGGCATGAAGGCATTCCGACACATGTGAGCAGCGTTGTGCAGGAGTCCTTCAATCAGCTCCAGACCAACCCAGAGACAACTCTCAAGACCACAGGCCAGGAAGTGAAGAAGCTTCTGCCAAGCCACATGCAGGCTAAGGCAGACTTTGCCAAGCCCGTCTTACTATGACACTGCCACAAGCTTTCTGTCGCAAGTTGGCAAACAGTTGGCAGGTAAGGCAACGCCGACCAGTTGCAGCTGGCATCCAACCAGGCTGGACACTTGCGAGGCCTGGTATGAATTTGGGGTTTGGTGCTCCTTTTGTTGGGTCTGTCCGACTTCATCCCCAGGCTACGCAGACTGTGCGAGGAGGCCGGCATTATTCATGCAGACCAAACTGGGGTAGCAAGCGATAGCAGATGACAAGATCCATGGAAGACTTGCTAGTAGCTGGCCAGCGAGATGTCTGAACTTAAGGTCAGGGTCTGGGGCAAGCTTGCAGCCGAAGCATGTGGCACCGCCAACACCTCTAGCAGTTCATATTGGGGTAGACTGGCTGCGGTTTTGGCAGGAGGGCCCGCTTGAGGCCCTGCAGTCGCAGGGAGTGGCAGTGGTCGGCGGCGCCTTCGAGGTCCTGCCGTCCAAGGGCTGCTGAACTAGAGACGGAGAGACTGTACAGGCCCTGCAAGAGATTTACCCAGCTTGTGCATCGTTTTGACTAGGCAGATCAGCTGCACGAGATCCGGACCAGCTTCTGCGGTTTAATGCTCAGATGGTGTGCTTCAAGAATCTACCATGGCACAACGCACTGTACGCGGAAAAGTTGCTTCGTCCGGCGGATTCGTTGCTGTCATGTGGCCTTTGCGCATGGCTTGCACGCAAGGATTGGACGAGGAGGTCCGAGATGACGACGCCTGGTTGCACAAAGCATTCAAGGAACGAGTCCTGCTACAACCTTGCGAAGCAATTACTTGTTTTCGTCCAACACTCAAGAAGTGCAGAAGCTGAAGGGTTGAAGTGCGAGCCAGGTTTTACAATTTGGTCAGCTACGTGGTGAGCGGGCCCCGTCGCACCTGCCGTTTGAGGCGTCTTTTGGAGGATGAAATTCAGTCGAAAAATGTTAGAGAGTAAGCTTGTTTAGCAGCCCCAGGCGCCCTTCAAGTCCTTGCAGCTCATGGGAATAGACTACATCTTGCGGGACACATTAACGGGATACCTTGGAGAAGATTGCGAGCTCCTTAGCAGCAAAATTCGCATCCAGCCGGACGTTTGTGCTTACTCAGACCTTTACATAGGAAAGGCTTGCTCGTGCCATCACAGCATGCACATCATGCCTCACAGTAACCTTCTTTTCAGAAGCTTGAGGTTGGAGAGTGCCATGGTAATCACTGTGGACCCTGGTGCTCCTGCGCAAAACGCGCATGTGGACACCCAGGATGAGGGCAGCATATCTGTGCACATCCCGCTACATTCGCTTCACGATGGACCCTCGCACAAACAATAAGGCACTGGTTCAACCCGAAGGGCTCGAACGGGGATGCTCTATACAATTAGCGTGGCAGTCTTTGAATTTGAGATGTGCCGAGTGCTGAGCGCTGGGTTTTCCGGTGTAACGTGACACTGGGGCCTGCGAGTGTTGCGACTACTGGAGTCAGCTGCTGGAGTCAGGCAAGTCTATTTAGTTCTTCACGTACAGGGGTTATATTGGGATAATGGAAAATAAAATGGAAACTATAGTATAATTTGCATCCAAGTTTCATTCCTTGCGGCTGTTCCTCGAGGATGGGCACCATTGGGTTTCTGCATGGGCTCTCACAAGAATCCAGAGTCTGCACGGAGCTCAGTGGACGTCAAAACGGCCAAGCGTAACGCTTTTGATGGAAATCATGTTTCTCAACATGCCATGACATTCTTGTTGTTCAGACTGGCTTAGCAATGTAGGCTTGAGCAAGTGCTGCAGCAACTTTCTTGTAATTTTCATTCATCTTCACACTCGCCCATCCTTCCGGAAAGCCAATTATATGTTTTCCATACCAGACCCTTGCCTATTCCCTGCTTGCAGACGGTGTATTCTTTGCCAAGCTCGCACCGTCCCTTTAGACATTAAGAGCTTATCATCCGGCAGGTGTCAGTAGTCCGGTTCTGGTGATAATAAGGGGGAGGGAAATGCACGATTCTGGGGCAAAGGCCGCGTGGCTTCGTATTAAGAATCCCCTCTCCCCCCTTCGACTGATCTATCTCCTTTTTTTGTTTTTGGTGAGGCGCTTAAACAATGATGCCCAAAAATGCTGGTTTGCCCAAAAAGTCTAATTCAAAGCAACATCCCTTGAACAAATCCGGGAATGTCATACTTGTTGGACTCTTGTGGGTCTAGTTCTTGTGTTCCGGCGGTGGCATTTTTTTTATGCTGCAGCTGCTGTGCAAGTCTTCTTGCCCAGGTTCTTTCCGCTCCTCCGCGGATAAAGCTGCGCGGACTGGAGCGGCGTCAGAAATCCGAGCAGGCACTGCACAGGCACGGCTGCTTTTGTGGTTGCATGCTGCGTCCTGACTGAGGCGTTCCAGCATGAAAGGGCTTGCAGATGTATGGCCACAGGTTTCACGCAGCTGCAGGAGATTACGGAAGAGTCATGTAGAACACTCTTGTCGTTTCTTCCTGTTCAGTCTGCACTGGAAATTCACATTTGGACAGGCAAACGCTTGCCACAGAAAAGGAGGAGCACTTTGTGCAATGGAGTGCGAACGAGGCTGGCGCGCTGGACAGCCAGCCCATTGAAGGAACTTGGATTCACAGTGATGCTTTGTGACCTACCTGGGCACGGATGGAAGGTGGCTCTGATTCCGTCTGTAGACTTCCGAAGAGGCGGGCAGCGGTTCGGATTGTCCATGAAAGACGCGTCAGCCGCCAAGGCTCCAGGCGAGTCCTGGTACGCAGCTTTCGTGATACTTCGGCGGAGGCGCCACAGCAATTTCACAGCAGAACTGCCCTCTGTTATGCAGCGTTCTGTGGCATGCTGTGGCCCGGACGTAGCAGCTGCTACAGCATGTGAAGTGCCGAAGACGGCAGCATTCATCTCTTTTCTGATCGTTGGCTCATTGATGCTCACGGCATGCCCAGCCCAACGCTTGCCACCTGTTGGTGTGTGAGGCGCTTGGCCTTCAGCCTGCGGACGAGGCAAGGGATGACTGCAAATGACGTTTGTCCCTCCGTGCCTTGTGTTGGCAGGTAACTCATGTGAACGAGCTGGACTTCGTCTCGTGGCTTGAGGCCGAGCCGTGGAGAACATAGAATATGATCCCTCTTGTCGAAGTGCTTGGCTGAAGGTTAAGGACCACGTGCCGGAGTTGAGGGACAACTTGAGGGTCAGGATACTCAGGCCGGTCACCAGGGAGCAGGATGCCGCGCAAGAGTTGACAGAGGACAGCCTGCAACTTTTGGTTTGTGAGCTCGCACAGCCCACATGGGCTAGAAACAGTTCTTGCGTTGTTAAGATGTCAAGCGAGGGTAGCCTGAATCGAACCGTAACCTAAGAAAGGAGCTTCCGCCTTCTGCGCCTTCCAAAGGCTCGGCATTACTCAAGTGAACTGTTTACGTGGATATGACGGACAGCGCCTAGACAGCACCTAGGCCGGGCAGCGCCAGGACCATCCAGCTTCTTGGCAAGCTAAGTTGAAGGCTTCCGGCGAGGGTGCTTGGTCTGCTTGAGGACTGCGTGTCTGGTTCAACAGCAAGCGCCACGCCGACAGACTGCTGGTTGGGGCACCGCTCGACATTGGGGACGCGCTAATCTACGACTCCAGGTCACTAGCCCCAGCTATGGAAAGCGTTTGTCCACTCGGCGTCTGAGATTCTCGCTGAGGGGCTGTAGTGGATGTGCTGCTCATCGAAGGACTGTCCACTGGGGCATGGCGAACTGCGAGAGCTATCCTCGCTACGTGCTATACTTGAACTTCAAGAGGCATGCCTGTGTCAGCGAAGGGGTCGCTCGCATGGCCGCTTGCGCATGCGGCGGTACATGGTGTCACAGTGTGCAGAGCATTTTCCGCTGCAGGGGCGGCTTTCGGGGCTCGTCTCCAGATGCTATTGCAAAACGGACAGCCTCCTGGCGCTGAAAGGTGTCTGAAGGTAGAGAAAAGCCATTGGAGGCGGGGCCGGAAGGGGTTCCATAGTGTTGTGCAAAAAATCCACTGCCGCAGAGCCACTACAAATCAAGGCCTCCAAGGCAGCTACTGAATCCTTTTCCCCCTATTCATGTACTCCCCAATGAGCCCGAGGCCTATAATCCTGGATGACTACTTTTACAAGGGCAAGATCAACTCAAAAGAAAAAATGAATGGAGGGCCGAGACCCAGGAATCGGGGTTACATAGACTAACAGGAAATATTTATTGGTTTCTCAGGCTACTCTGGGGCTTGGGGAAATTTCAGACACCCTAATGATACACATTCCGCAGGAAAGTTGTTCATTATAAGAGGGGGACGATCAGCTAATGTCTTCTAGGGTTGTCGTCCGAAGCTCTTGGACCCAGCATCAGCATCTGAGGCCTCTGCTCGCTGTCGGCGAGAGCGGCATCTCTTTCGGGAACGGCTCCTTGGACAATACACCTTCAGCCGCACAGAATGATTCACCATTCGCTGCTCAATGGATCCAATTATTTACCGTGCTGACCGTGCAGGCGTTTCTTTTTGACATGTGCGGTCAGCCGTGCTCAACCATTGATGGCAGCGTTTCGTGGTCACATGCTTCTTGAAGAGTCCGGCAGCAGCCAAGGTTCAAGCGTGACCTGCACTACATGCTTTAGTCCTCCGGGGTTTCTGAGTGGTAGACTAGTAGGTTAGTAGGTGAGATCTGCGGAGAAAAGCTGAGCGCGTCTCAAAAGTCTTCTGCCTGACATGGTTGGTATCTGTATGACTCGGGCTTATGGTTGTAAGTTTTGAGGCTCCGTCGTGCCGCTGGGCCCTATCCCGCCCGTGAGATGCCCAGCTTGACCGCAAGCACTGCCCCGCATGTGTGTGTCACGTGCTGCATTCTGAGTTCACCAGTCCATCGAGGATTCCATGCTTGGGCGAGCACTGGCTCAGGGAGGCAGCGCAAGGTGCGACGGGCATTACAGATTATCCCTTCTCTCATACGAGAGAAGAGCTGTTTGACGAGGCGTGCTGGCAGCATGCCGCAGCGCACACGCAGCTGCCGATCGATGAATCAGTCTGCAACCTGGTGGATGTCAGCCCTATCCATTCAGACTCCGCCTGCGTTGCTTGATTGAGGCCTGTGACCTTTCACAAGAAGGCCCCAAAAGCTCGCTACGGCATGCTTGTAAGTGAACTAGGTTGGCGGCAGCCGCTGCTGTGGCAAAAGCAGGCTCAAGCGCAAGGACAGCCTCACCAGGCAGCATGATTCACGGCTTCACGGATCAGTCAGTACGCGAAACAACCTCCGCCCAGTGAGAGGCCCCGCCCATTATGCAGAGAAACCTGTCAAATTAGAAAACATGTAGTTTGCCGCATGGTATTTGCCCAGCTCGCCCGGCCCCTAGGCCATCTCATTGCTGCGGATATGCAAGCATGCCGATGGCAGCCCTCTAGGGCAGATTGCAGCTTAAAGTCAAAGGTACATGTATAAAGCACACACACACAGGGTGTTCGCAGTGGCAGTAAGGCCCCGTGGGTTCCGAGCATCTCTTGGTGTCTAGCTCGCCGAAGCATTTCATCGGGCGACAGCATGGACAAGCCCACCCGCAGCCAGCTGCACCTGCCTCATGGAGGCTGTGTGAAAACTTGTTCGCAAAGTGGTCGCACCCCTTTTCTCATGCCCTTGCTGAGCCCGACGTCCACTGAGGCGGCGCTCGGTGACATCCAAAGGTGAAAGTCGGCAACTGTGACCTGGGCAAGCTTTTGCACAAGATCCTGATGTAGATCACAGCTAGGTTGTGCTCATGCACCTAAACTGAAGCGCAGATGCCATTGGGGTGTTGGAGCTAGGCGCTTCGAACTTTCTGCGTTATCTCTGCCAACATTGCAGGTGCAACTACGGAACGGCGTGTTATCGGCGTCTCGCGCCCGCACACTGTATGAGCGATATGTGGTAGTCTTCTACAAACACTTTCACACAGTTTTCAGTTTGCTAAGGCCACCCGCAGCACCTAGAGGAGCTGGCGCACCCCTGGGATGATGTTTCGGCCTGAGACATGACGAACTGAGAGAGGAGTCTGGGTGCAACACACAAAAGACCGGTCGGCCAAAATCCAACGTTTCGCTTGCCTGAAGAGGAGGTTTATTTGCGCCAAGCGGAAAAATTGATTACGTTCTCCGTCTGGCTCATCAGGCTCAGCGGGTGATAGGTCTGCAACTCATTGAGAACTCCTCAACTCACCCCAGGCCCTATAGGGTTCATGTCCAAGATTAATCCCTTGCCTTGATTGGTTGAACGCAGGAACTCAGACTCAGAGACTCGAACATGCTCTGGGAAAAGGGCTGAGATTTACGTCCCGAGGATTATCTGGCCTGCTGTGAGTTCTGGGGCAAGAAGCCCGAGTGCGGCGCTTGATCCAGATCTTGACCAGTGGCAGCTTCAAAAGACTAGTATTTCATCTGCGGATACTATAGACCCAGTATAGAGTTAATTAGATGGGGGTCAACCACCAAAATAACGCTACTCAAAAGGGTGAACTGCATGATTAGGCTGTGTGCCCGGTCCATACCAGTGTGTTCGCTGCAATGCCATTCCATCTCTTTAGAAGCAATGGCCCCTAAACCCTAAACTGCAATGGCTCACAGGTTTTGCAGCATCCGCAAGCTCTTTGTCGCAGCCTCGTTTTGCAGCAGCTCCTGCAATATCAGACCAGAACTTATTGGTGGTTAGTAGGGAATAAGGGAACGTAATCCCCATATAATATGATGGCTCGGCAAAATGTGCACATTCCACCTGATGCTCCGCAGACTGCCGGGAATCTACGGGTGGGGAAATTTTACGCCTGAGCCAAGGAGTTTGCGGACCGCGGGACCGGCCGTGCTACTCGTGACTTGGTCTGGAGCATTTCCCGTGTCTCGCGTTTGCACCCGCTTTAACCTGGCTGCGCCGGTTGGCTTCACCTACGTAAGGTGACCGGCTGGAAAAAGACGTCCCAAGCTTGAAGTAGCACCGATGTTTGATCCTTCAAATTGTCAACTGCTCTTTCACGCTGCGGCTGCGGGCCAGCAGCCTCGGAATTGGCGTAGGTCTGGCCAGAGATCCAGCGGCTTGGGAAGAACGTCGGCTGCTTAGAGCATGGCTTTGGGCAATCCTGGGTCAATGCTCGCAGCAGCCCGTCGCCCCGTCAGGCACCATGCTGCCCCACAAATGATTTGTTAAATGACTTGCCTTGTTGAGGTCGGACCTCTGACCGACGAGCTGTGGAGCTCTCTGGACGATGATGGTAATGGTCGAGCTCCTAGACACAGAGTGCGGTCGAAAGCAGCTTCGTGCTGCTAGACCCATCCCTCTTAATCTATCTGCAGGCTACATCAACTTTGGTGAGTTTGCGGAGTTCACCACGAAAATGAGAGTTGGCCACATCCTGAGTCCTAAGCATTCTCCGTCAAACCCTTCTTGTCTGCTGGACTTGCCAATCTGAGACCTTCCACTGGGCTTGGACACCCTGCTCGGCGACTTGGCCAACCAAAGCGACCTGAAATGTGGAGCCCTGACCTTGGTTGCATTCTTGCAATTCCTTACAGGAACGCAGTGAACTTCGGCTTGGCTGAGTTTTGCTTTCTGCCATGTCAGCTACACACATGCTGGCTACCTGGCGCGAGGTGTTTGACTGCTCGTGCACGAAATTTGTCATGAGCCGGCGTCGGTGCAAATATGGAATCGTCCTCAGAGAGTGATTGTCATGCAAGCTGCCGCCGGCGGTGACCATAATTCCTAGGCAGAGGGTCTGACACGGCAGCAGTGCGTTAAGGTGCTGACTGCTACCAAAAAAATGAGGAGCATCGCGCGAGCTCTGCTGGCGTGTTGCTTGTAGTCATTGCACTAAACCGCTATGAGTGGGGTTGTGCTGCTCTTTGGGGATGCGCAGCCAGGCTTCTCGCATCCAGATCAAGAAGACTGGGCGACAGCTGGGAAGGAGCGCGGGCCTTGCCTGCTGAATTTACTCGCTACCGCGAGTCCCTTGGGGGCAAGGGGCGGGTGGACAGTGGAGCGTAGCAGACGACATGCGAGGCTGAAGGTATGAAGCGCAAGGACTCGTAGGCTTTCAGACACGTTCATGCTGAGTTTGCTGGATGATCCTGGATGGCTTTGATTAGCTTCATGCCTTGTAGTTTGGAGGCACTGCTTTCTGACTCGAGGAGAGGCATAATCTTAGCTTGTTTTGGTGCGCAGAAGCCGAAATCGGAGTTTGCGTGCATGTAGACCTTTATGCTTCGGATTGAGTTGACAGGAAGAAAGGAAGGATCGAGCAAGCAGAACTCAGCAGCTAAAGCGGGCAGTGTTCCTGGTGGTAGTTTCGCAGCAGAGTCGGCCAGCTGTGTGAGTGGAAGGCGCGGCTGTGAATTTAGTGGTGGGCGAGGGGGGCGGGAGGCGGGAGGCGGGGGGAAGCCGTACACTCCGCACATCTCCACACCTTCGGTTGTGGTGTCCCTTGTGCATCGTGGGCGGGATCGGGTCAGATGCTCAGCAGGAAGGCAACAGCAATGTTGGCAGTTGGGTCTCTCTATCCAAATCCTGGAAATAGCGCCCTACCCTACTCCTTTGGATGAGCGTATCCCAACTTCCTTTGGTTTGCCCGACTGTTCCGTTGACTCGGGGGTGGGTGTCAGGTTGCAAGACACATTTTTGCATCCTGGAGGTGCATAGCAGGACCTGCAGGCTCTGAAATTCTATCCCACCTCGCTGGGGCCAGAATTGAAAAAGAGTCTGTGCGGAGCCTTCGGCAGATCCATTCCAAACGAACTTCCTCTGAAAGCAAGCCGGAATCTAGCCCTGGCATCATCGCCCATGTGAAATCCAGACGGTCTGCTTCATGGTGTAATGATTGCCGAGGGTATGCCAGTGCGGCCACAAGAGGAAGCTGCACGCCTTGACCCCGGTACTTAAGACAGTGTGCTAGCCTTATCTGGCCTTGTGTCCAATCGTCGGACATAGCAGCACGCAGCTGGCGTTGCAAGCTGCTGCAGAAGTGCATTGTCTCTTCAGAGCTGGACGAGACAGGCTTCTGCCGCATCTGGGGCAGCTGCAGTCATGCTGACGTGTTTGCCAGCGCATCTTGCTCTCACACTTTCACAAAGTGTCACGGCGCTCTGTACTCATAAATTTGCCGCACAAGCGGCGTGCCTTGCGCCAGGTTCCGTATCCCGAGTACTGGAGCGGTGGCCTGAGAACCGGGGAGGCTATGCTGAACTTTACGGCGTTGTGCCCGTTGCTTCTATCCAACGCTAGGTTGTAGCTCTGCTGGAACAAGCTCTGCTGCAATTGCCGACGGTCTCTCACTCAATCTTGTCCGCACATGTTCGAACAATAAACTTGCCCGTGGCGTCTTTTCAATTCTGTTGCCTGCTTTGAGGTCATGAGCCTACGGAGCTACGTTCTCAGGGCATTCCCTATGAATCCGAAAAATCTGAAGTGCAGGCTGAGGAAACTCAAAAGGAGTCGTGGGATAGGAGTAGCAGTCAGGATGCAAAGCGCCAAGGTTCTGTGAGCTGAAAGAGATGGATGACAGCATGCTTTCTCGGCCAGGGAGCTCAAGGTCATATTGAAATGGTTGAGAGCTTGTTGTGAGAAACAGGATGCATTCATCTAGGTGGAGCATAAGTGGCAGATTCTGTTTTCAGTGGTCACGACACAGAGGCAGCTCAAGATATTGAGGTTGAAGCAGCTCGTAGATGCAACATACTCTGCAGGCGCCTGAGTTTGGGACAGATGGCAATGCCGTTCTACGACCTGCTGCATTCCGCATGTCCCTACAATTGTGCTCAAGATGGAGGTGATGGAATAGTGTAGCGAATCCTTGAAGGCAAGCATAGGCAGGAAGACGAACCGGTTTACGGCTCCATGGTTGCAACATCCTCCCCCGACCAACATGCAACCCGTAACCAGGAACTACACAAGTACTGTAGCGGCTATTGTCTTTTGAAAGGGCTCCTATAGGGGTTTCCATGCTTGCTTGGGTCTTCCGCCCACATTCTTCAAAGCAATCCTGGTTGCCAGCCCATACCAGCTTCGGCAACATGTCTCCCAGTTCTCCGGGTTGTAATCTCAGTCCAGGTCTTGCAAACGTACATTCAACTTGCTGTCACTTCCCACTATGCTGGCTACCAAAGGCCGTCAGATAATAAATCCATCTATGCAGGTCCCATCCCATGTTCACTGGCTTACTCAAACTGGCGGTGCACCCAACCGCCCTCCTCTTTCGACCCCTGCCAGCATGCTCATCTCTTCGAGTCAGGCAGCTTTGCCTACCGACTTTACTCGGAATAACCTTCGAACATGAACATTCGACGGCACTGCAATTGTGCGTGCTGTCGCGCAAAGTACAGTTGCTGCTGAAGGGCCAAAAACTGAGGGTAACTAACACAGACTTTGAGCAGAAGAGGTTGTACCGTAAACCAGCTGGCGTGCCATGTGGGTGTCAAGTAGCCACATGAAGCCCAGGACGTGACCACCCGCGATCGCCAGCGTCATTCTGGCAGTTGGATGGTGCTGGGGACCTGGCAGGGAGAGAGATTCCGGGTCTTTACAAACACTCCATGCTGTGAGGCCTCGCGGCTTTGAGGTTGTATCTGCCCAGATCTCAGGCAGCAAAGCAAAGTACCAAGACTTCCAGCCGAGTGCGGGGGAGAACTGACTTGCTGGTACTACTTCCAAATGCATGTTGTCATATGTTGTCCAAGGGCTTGTCGTAGCCGGTATGGTCCGTGAGCAAGTGATTGAGATATGGAAAAGGCCCTGCGCAACGAGAACAGCAGGCTCTGGCGAAAGCAGGATCCTTGGAGTGGTGATCTGAACCCAGTGCCGATGGATCCTTCCACGGGCTCTTGCTAGGAGTGGTTGCTTGACAAACATCACACCAAGGTATTGCGTCAAAAAAGCGGAGCTCCAACAGGCCAGTGGCTGAGCTTGACCAAGCTGTGACGCACCGACGCCGGAGTTGTTACATTTGTTCCCTGGCGCTGCCTCTGGCCATGCAAGTGGCAAATCAAGAACTAGACGTGAACTTTCTGCCATCTCTCGGTCTCTGTTAGGAGAAAAAGAAGAACGATGCTGAACACAGCTTCGACTGGAAGGCTTTGCCCACAGAGCTGCGCATGTGTGCTTACGCTTTAAATGCTCTTTGACAGCGACAATGACTAAGTCTGTCTAAGTTTGTTGGCAATGAAATACGACAGTCATTTTGAATTTCAATGTTAGCTGTTTGTTGATTCGCCCATGTAAGCTTCACCAAATTCGAAGCTTGCGGCCAGGTCTTCGATGATGTGTTGACAACCAGGCGCGCGCTGGTCAGTCCCACTGCGATCACGTCTTGATTCATCTGATGCCTGCAAGCTGTCACTTCCCACCAAGAAGATGTCTGGAGCTGATCTAGGCATTCGTTCCATGAACCCTGATCAAACGACATTCCTGCTTTACCTATTATGACCGCAGGATCTGGGCGGCTTACAGTGACAGCGACACTCTGGACGCGGACATCAATGAGTTTGAAGCCAAGCCGATGGTTGTGTCTAGCACATTTCAAACGCTCAGCTGCTGTTCTCAGAGCTTGGTGCCAGCTTGTTTGAATGTTAGACATCTTGTCAGACATCCTGCATGTATACAGCCCCTGTCGCTTCTGAGGTGGTACCTTTGGCATGGGACCAGCAGCTCAGCTGCTCACAACATTTGCAGGCCAATCAGTGGGCTTGACTGCACTGCGGGGCCATTCACCTCCCTAGCAATACAACCCCCAATATGCTACCATACCTCTACATTAGGGGTAACCTGTGTTGTCAGGGGTTGGGGGTTCAGTATTAAGGGAGGGGATCAGTTCTGCCAAAGTTCCGCCAGGTCTGACTTCAAAATGAGGCTCGCTGGCAGTGCCACCGGCACCCTGTACGGCCACTCGCCAGCAGCGCGGGTGCTTCAGAAACAGGAAGCAGCAACAGATGCCATACGATTTTTCCTAGTTGTGCACATGCATGTGGGGGTGAGGTCAGGGCTATTTTTGAGTCATAGCCATAGCCATTAACAGGCCCAATTCAGAATTTGTAAGATCTTTTGCCAGAAAGGCGGATGGGCAGAGATGCGCCAGATCCTGGATTTCTTTAAGGATGCACGCGAGAGCGAAGCGCTGTTGTACTCGTAGTGATGGAGACTGCAAACGCCAAGGGCCGACTGTTAGACCTCTTTGGACAACATGCAGTGAAATTCGACGTGCTTGCGGAGGGTGGGCAGTTTCGTGCCACAGCTCAAGTTGGTCAGTTGGAGCCGCTCTCCGGCTGTCTCTCCTCAAACAAGTTGGCGGCACAGCAGAGCGCCGCTGAGGTGGCTCTGCGCCATGTACTCTCTCATCCAGAGCTGGTTCCACAAGAGTCACCTCATGATTTCAAAGGGCAGCTGGCGCGGCTGCAACAGCCTTCAGGCAACATCGCGTCCTACAAGACGCTGTTGTCCGAAAACGGCGGCTTTATTTCCACTCTGGCCCTCGGAAACCGCACAGTTCAGTCCCAACAACTGGGACGGAAAAAGGTTGATGCGGAACAATTTGCTGCCAAAGCCTTTTTAGAGACCTTGGATTCTAATGACAGGGCAAACGCCAATGGTAGTGCTGTTCGCACGGCCTATCCAGCTGGAACCATGGCGGAACAATCGGAGCATCCACTTCTTCCGGACCAGCTGCCGACTGAGGCTGTGGATAAGGAGCTGCAGATGGAGGCCGTGCGGCAGCAGTTTGAGGAGCACGCGAAGCTCAAGCTGCTCTTGCAGTCCAATCCCGCCTACGAACAGATCCGAGGTAATTTTGCACAGTGCATCAAGACAGCTTTCCAGGATGGTTTGATTGGCGAAGAAGAGAAGAAGCATCTGCAAGCCATAAATGGCCGTGGGAACTGTGCAAAGCACTGCCCCGAAAAACTGCAGCCTAAGGAGCCACCCCAAGAACAGTTTGCATCGTCAGTTTCAGCTGAAAACGTGGAAATCCTGACCAGCCTAGATGAGATGGACTGATGAGACAATCCCCGTGGCCGAGTGTAAAGGGACAGCAGGCGCACTGCATCCCTTGACCAGCTGCAGTACGGAATGCATGCGAAAAAAAGTGGAGAGTGAACACGAGCTCGACAGGAGGTCCCATCAGGATTGTGTATTTCGTATGTATTTTCGCTTCATTGAATCTCTTCGATCCGTTTTGCCTGCGTTTGTGGCACGTACTATCTGGCAGCCGTGCTGTTGCAATTCGGCGCTGCGGAGAGCTGCACTGTTTTGCTGAGGCCGCGGATCGTACTTAGCAGAGTCCATCACGAAGGCACGAGGATCAGTGAGTCAATCTCTATGATTGCCAGTGCCATCATCTTGTGCCTTAGCGCATGGTACGGCATTGCAGCTGAGGCAGATGAGTACGCAAAGGCAGAGGATGGCCTGTACACCGTGCTATTGTGTGTGGCGCACAGGGACCGTTCTTGAACAAACCTTAGAATTACATTGACATGGTCTTTGGGCAATTCTGGGCACCAGATCTCTGCACCCTCCTGTCTCGACCTCTTGACCAGAGCACTTACAAGATCTTGTAGCGTGGCTTGCAGTGGCTGTAGACACCAAAGCAAACCTGATGTGCTGAGGCCGTGTCCTTGGAGGGCGCGTGAGGTACACCGACGAAAGGATCTGCCAGCAGAAATGATTCACAAGGGCTGCAGAAAATGTGCCATGTTCAGGACCCCTGATCCTGAAGCCTTGACACAGGATTGCATTCATGGGCCAGGGTCTCACGTCGGCCAAGTGCAAAACATGTACCGGCAGCGCATTGCACACATGTTTGTAGGTAACACGGGAAATTGATGCACAACCGACAGACACGCCCTCTTTCCACTTTTAAACTCAGGGACTATGACTGCATCCTTGGAGACCGCAAGAAGATTTCCGGCACATACCGTGAGTTCATTGTGCGCGGTGCCCAGATGGCAAACGCGTGCCAGAGAGCTGTGACGCTGAAGGCAGAGGTGCTAGTGAGGCTACACAAATAATGCTTTGCGTCATGCTATGCCAAAGCGTCAAAGCGCTGCAGGGGAACCACATTGGGCATCGGCGGTTCACAGAATGTTAAGAGGACATACAAAGGCTTCTCATATGTAACAGCTCCAGTGGCCGCCAGGTCTCAGTCGATTCGATTCTCAGACATTCGGTAAGGGAGTTGTGATATCTATCCGGGTCGGGCGATCAGCTGCAGGTTCGATACCGAGAACGTGTATCCTGAGTTGGGCCCTAAGCTGTTCCAATTAAGCCAGTGACAACAAGCTAGTGTCACCAGGTTTTGCTGGTGCACATGCCCAACAGCAGCGATGTTGCTTCACACCATGGTTCAGGTACCTCGTCATATATCAGCGAGGAGAAGTCTTCAAATCCCCATCGCATCCTTGACTGCAGCATGCATGGGATCCCCATCGAGAAATATAGTGGCCTGGGCAGTCTGCGCGAGGTGCTACTGAGTTGTTTTCTTTGAAGCATCTGACTTAAGCAGACTCTCCCTCGCTGCAGACGCCAGACAGCCAGGGCAACATTTTACGATCAATTTCGCGGCGTCTTGTGCAAGAGCTCCTCATGTACAGGTGCAAAAAGATGCTTGAAAGGCAAAGGCAGGCCGTAGCCCGGCATGCCATTTATTCAAAAAATGTTCTTTGCCTTCACTCACCGCGTCAGAAGCCACAGGGAGCTCAATGCAAAGACTGCCTCAGGTGGTTTCACCGGCACTGCGTGGCTTTACCGTGCGTTTTACTTTCGCAGTCATATCCGCAGACATCACCCTACAGCTGGTGTCAGCGGGCGTAGCGCGCAGTCTCCAAAGAAGGTGCCTTATAGATGACCACAAAACATGCACTTCGGCATAGATGTTGCCGTAGTGTTTGGGCTCCTACATGGTGCCCGAAAGCTAGATCTAGCAGAGGTACTGCACCCGAAATTTACCGACTTTGAAGGTGAAATCTGCAGGCTACGGCCCTCCAACCGAGCCTCCACGGGCCTTTGCCCAAGCATGTCGAAGACCTTACGATTTGCGAGACTGGCAGCGCATGCTCCGTCAAGCTCAGCAGGCTCTGATTGCCATGTCTACATAACTCCATGCAGGACATGCGGGGGATTCGGCATGGTTCATCAATGCCATGCGAGCTCACGGATACTGAGCCATTGGTGCAGCTCATTTCAGCATGCCGCTTGTTATAGATCAGCTGTCTGAGGTCCTGGGAAAGCCGCAGCTGAACACTAGACCCGTGGGGACGCGGCCCCAGGCAACTACTGCATCCTCCTTTTGCTTGACGATCAATGACCTGCACGGGAGCGTGTGTCTTCTGAGGTCAAAGCCAGATTTTGGGCCACCCAAGCCTGGTCAAAGGCCTATAATCCCACTATATTATAGTAGTTTCTTCTTTCTTTTCCATTATCCCACTATAACCCCAATGTACTATAGTAGTTGAGTAAATTTGAGTAGATGCAGCGTCTCTTCATGCCAACGCGACTCGCCTCGACTAGGCCGAGCCGGCCAAGATCTGCCTCTGGCTAGAGCCTTGCACTTCCACGGCTTCCAGAAAAGATGATAATAGTAGTAATAACAGTAGCAAATAGTAATATCAAATAGTAATAGTAACAGCAAATAGCAATAGTAAGAATAATAGCAATGATATCTATATACCCCTGTATAACCCCTTATGCATGAGATCAACATGTCTCTGATCGGCACCGTCCAAGGACGCACTTCAAGCCATGCCACGGGGCCACCTCTGGAGCACTGCAGCCGACCAAGTATGACCGAGTGTACCACGTCTTCAGCGCATGACAGAGCCAGAGGAGGACCTTAACGGACTTTATCGCAAGCACGTCGCCACCATGCGCAGCACATCTGAAGGATACTAAAGCGTAATTATCTCCATGTCGGCTGGGCATTTGTGTTCCCTGCATGCATCACAGAGGGCTGGGAGGGAAAATGTCTGCATTCGACACATCAAGCGAGACTAAATGCAAAGGGGCTGAAAGGGACAGGACAGAGTCCTCTCTGTTTCCGCCGGACCAAGACTGATCCCACCGCGCTGTTATCAGAGGAGCACTGCTTTAAAATGGGTTCGAAGTTGGCAGCCTTGTGCGACATTTGCTCGATCCGCATTGTTTGTCAGGCCCAAACCAGTATAGGAGTCTTGTGGGCCGCAGGCTCCACCCTCTCCGCAGAGTCATGGACGCTGCCTGGGATGTAACCACCATATCTCCTACTGCTGATGCGGCCATTCGCGGCAAGTACGCAGGCGTCCCAACAGTGGATTAGTCCCAAGAACGGCCCACTTCTGGTTCGTAAGTTTAATGTTCCAATGATGTGTTTGGGCGCTAGGAACGGTGCTGGGCACCCGTGCTGTCGCACCGCGAGGCGGCGCTGCAAATCCCGAGCACTGCGCAATTTGTTTGGAGGACGGGCCACAGTCTCTAATCCAGATGACAGCAGTCAGCAGCTGTTCAAGTTGATGCGACGTGATTTGCAGGATGGCGATGGTGTGATTTGGGTGCGCTACTGTACAGTGAACGCAAGTGGCGCTGTCGAAGAGGTGACAGCAGGCGCAGCAAAGAAGTCCGAGCTGGACCTCAAGGAGCCAGCCGCCTGGCTTGGACATCAACTAGCTGCATGACACGAGCTGTCTACTTGGGAGCGCCTGGCTCATGTGGAAGTTTATCCGAGATTCCCAGAATCTAAGGCTTTAACAGATGATTCAAATCGTTGATTGTGCAGTAGCAACGAGCACTTGGCCTAACACCGCATCTGATGACTGAGGTGGGCTCTTGGCCATTAATGGGTGATGCCATATTCATCCCTTGGGTGGATACGATCCTGAAGGATTGATTTGATTTGCTCGAGTGATCTCGAGTGGTTCGCCCAAGTCGCAAGAACCGTCGCCAGGACTGGTCCATCACCCTCCCCAGCTGAAGGCTAACGAGAAGTGAGCCTTCATACTGCGGCCGAGCCATGAAGGCTGTGAAGAGCACACGCCCCCGCTTGGCCTCGATTCGGCTTTCGGAAAAATTGAAGGATTATTGAGCATTGAGCATACGCTTAGCACATCAAGTATCAAGGTAGCCCGTCTACCCTGTTCAGCTTCCGCAGTTGTCGGCAAGGCCCAGAGATGGCACTGTCGGCATGCGAGGGCTACGCTGTGGGGGGCTAAAGCTTGCTGTTCAAACAGGCAGGCATCAGTAGCACGGTCGCCTGTTTCCAAGCCCATTGGGCAGCTAACTCAGCCTCACTGAGGTCACTGACATATGCTTCTCGCCGCAGGCCTCGTTGGTAAATTAGCAATCAAACCGTCAGACGCGCAACTGACACGCCTGGTCCTGTCATTGGATCGTCCTGTGTGTAGTATCCTGCCTGTAATCTTCCACCGGCAGCTAGGCCTCCCACTTGATGGTGGTGGGCAGCGACAGAACTGTAATGGCCCCAGCGCTTGGCAACATCCACACTGTGGAAGCGTGCAGCATTGATTATAGATTGCATAAGGAGCAAGACGGAGTAAAGTCACCTGCTCGCAGATTACAGTTCACAAGCACCCCGAACCCAACATGCATCCGCGGCGCTGACATCTCAAGGTTTGCAAGATGGCAGATGTTCAATTGCTGTACCCATTGCCTGCCATGGCTTCCGCACTGGGTAAGGGCAGGCGCATCCAGCGGAGCCGGCACGGCTGGCTTTAGCACAGGCTTGCCTCGCCAAGCGCGAGCGAGCACATTGACCTCCCTGCCTTTGGGTGATGTCATTTGTGGTGAAGATCAACAATTTGAGCGGTCCACTGTGAGCCTCAATAGCAAGAAGCAACAGTGACTAAGAAGTCGCGCGTTCCGTTAGCCGTTAGCTATCCGTCATGCTCAAGATTTGCGACTGCATGCCACTTGTGAGGCATATGGTGTACTGTCCTGTCAGGCTTCGTGCTCCGGGGAATGGTTGGGCCAAATACAGCATGTCCGCTTGCACAGCTTATACGTCCCATGTTTTGTCCAGCCTGAGGCAGCATAAATGCTGATCCGAACTGGACAACGGCAGAATTGAAGATGGCATTAGCGAAGGCTTTTCTTGCCACGCAAAGGGAGGAGTGACTTGAACCTCAAGCGTGTTTGTGGGTTCTGGGTTGTATTGTTGGTGAGAGCTTTAAAAGAAGCGCCTGGCCTTGTCGACGCAACAGCTTGGGAAATGAAATGCATAATGTGACGTGTAGATGGGTATGCCGTATGCGTCTTTTTTGTGTGCTTGTCCTTCAATGGCCCAAAGCCTATGTGTGAATGCATGTAGCAGAAGCCCTTCCTGAAAGTCCCAGCTCATGTGCAGGTTGAGCGGTGCTGTCGCTGTGTCGGCCCAAAGGGGCCCCTTGAGATCACTTGGCACGCAGTCCGAGTCTAATAGGAAAAGAGTGCTTGCGCTGCTTTCATGGGTGGAGCCACCTGTGTTGTCTTGTTGGACTCACAGGTGGTAGCGGAGCTCTAAGCTCACAGGGCATTGGGACGTGGCTTCGGCGGCTGAGTGCGCATGCCTCCGAAGACTCAGGCTTTACCGCCTGAGACAGTGGAGACTTCAATGGCCACTGAGGGCCCGGGCGCCCATGGTGGATCCTGGAGAGACAGGGAGCCGCCGCCACCATACGATGGTCGGGATCCCGAACGTTCGTTTGAACGCTGGTTGAAGGACCTCAAGTTATGGGAGTTCGAAACGGAAGCTCCCAAAGCCAAATGGGGTGTGAAGATACTCCGGCAGTTGTCCGGCTCGGCGAAGGCTGCAGCTGAGAACCTGACCTTCGAGGAGATCGCGTGCGAAGACGGCAGGGACAACATCTTGAAGGCGTTGAAGGAGCATTTCGCTCCTCATCTGGAGACTTCCCTGCCTAAGGCCTTCGAGAGTGCGATCTATGGAGACATCAGGTCTGCCCGAGAGTCTTTTGGCGACTTCGTGATCCGGATGGAGCATTCCTTTAAGGAGCTGGAGCGTCAGGGAGTTAAGCTTCATGAGCTGGTCACTGGCTATGTCATGTTCCGTCATGCGAATTTGTCCGAGGTCCAAGAGAGTCAGATGCTGACGTGGGGCGCGGGCAAGTACGATCGCAAGACCGTGGTGGCCAACCTGAGGAAGCTTGACAAGGCGTTCGGAGAACCAAAGAGAAGAGGAGCTCACTACCTCATGGACGGCGAGAGCCACGAGGAGGGCGACGAGGTGGACCAGGCCATTTACGTGCAGGGCCAGGAGACTGATGATGACGAGTCCGACGGGGATGACGACTATGTCTACATCGGCGAAGGCGAGTTGCACGAGGTCTATGAAGAAGAAGATTTGCAAGAAGCTCTGGCCACCTATCAAGATGTTCGCAGGAGTCTCCGTGAGCAGAAGACAAACAGGGGCTACTATCCGAACAAGCCGGCCTCGACTGGAAAGGGGAGTTCGAGCTTTGCTCCAAGGAAGGGCAAAGGCAAGGGCAAGAGCAGACCCACTTTGGGAGTCAAGAACAAGGAGTACGTCAAGTTCACCAAGGATGGGCAAACCAAAGTCCATGTGGATATGCTCAAGTTGCGCACTAAGTGCGCTCGTTGTGGAGCTGTAGGACATTGGGCAAAGGAATGCACGAACCCCCCTGATGAACGAGGCAGGGCTGCCGCTGCGGCACACCGAAATTTTCCATCGTCAAGCCAGTCCTCTGGATCAACCCGTTCAGGGTTCTTTGTGCAGTCAGCGGCTGGCGCTCCCAGCGAGGGAGGACAGCAGAGCTTCTACGCGATTGAGGAAAATGGCGTGATCAGCAGTTTTGTGTCCTATGTCCCAACGCTTGGAAGCATCATGAGCAAGCTTGCGTTTAAGCCTCCCGAAGTAGCCAGAGAGCCGGTACAGCTGACCCAAGATCCACAAGTCAACCCTCCTAGCTTCATTGGCGTCGTGACAGGTGCCTCCGAAGGAATTGTGGACACGGCCGCCCAGGACGGTCTCCTTGGCAAGGAGGCTCTCTTAAGGTTTGCAGAGTCGCTCAGAAGCTATGGCTTGAAGATCCGTTGGAACACAACGCGTAAAGCTCAAGCTTGTGGAGTAGGGGGGAAAGCCACTGTTATCGGCACCGCAGAGGTTCCTGTAGGCATTGCTGGGATCAATGGACTCATTGAACTAACTGTTGTCACGGACAATGTGCCTATGCTTCTGCCCATCAAGCTGCTTAAGAACCTGAGGGCGATCGTCGACCTGGATCGAGATGTTCTGGAAGTCAAAGCTTTTGGAGCCAAGGCCCCGATGCACCAGCTTCCATCAGGTCACATGTCGGTGTCAGTGGTAGACTTTGCGCCTGGGGGTTGGAGCATGCCTCATGAAGCGCATAATGTTGAGCACCCCGAGCAGTTTACATTCCTCCAGAGCATGACCAATCTCAAAGCTGAAGCAACTTGCGACCCTCCAACCACGTGTAAGCCCAATGGCCAGTGCGTCTTCGCTTGTGGGGCGAATGCTGAGTCATCGAGAGCGAGAAGTTCGGGGCCATCCGAACGTGCCGTTGGCAACTTTGAGGCAGCGAAAGGTGCTGCAAAGGTGGAGGAAAGTGGTCGAGAAGCTGGCGGACCTCATGGCGCTCATCGGCCTGCGCGCAAGCGTGCTGGATTGGCTGCCAAGTTCCTCCTCGCAACTTTTGGGACTGGGCTCGCCGGATGTGGACCCATCTCCTTCTACCCGCCGATCCGCTACGGAGACTGTGTCGGACAAGCAGCTCGAACACAAGGAGATTATCCAGCATGCCGACTACCTGGGCCTGCGCAAGACCAAGGATGTCCCCAAGAAGACTATGCGAGAGTGTGTGCACCCGACTTCGGAGCTGAAGGGAGGGGGCAACCAATACAGCAAAGAGGTCTACTGCGACATGTGCAAGAGTCGCTGGAGGTACCTGTCCCCAGAGCAGCTCCTGGAGAAGAAGAAGGCCAAGTCTCGAGTCACGTCAGGATCCTCAGATCAAACGGCGAATTCAACTGCAGCAAGCTCAGGGCAGATCATGTGTCTGTGCAAGACGCCTGCCCATCGCTGGCAAGTCAAGAAAGAGGGTCCGACAAAGCGGAGGCACTTCTTTCGCTGCGAAGGTCGGATGTGCGAGTTCTTCCTGCAAGATGCCAAGGAGCAGAATCCGGGACAGAATGCGCCGGAGATGGAGGTGGACCAGATGGACGCCTTCAACGAGGAGGTCAAGAAAATACAAAGCCAGGCCGAAGCCCATGTGGATCGGAAGACCAAAAAAATGGAGATGCAACAGCGGGCCATGGAGAAGCAGTACAAGGACGGCATGGAAGCTCAGACTCATGCCCACCGTGCCGAGATGGAGACGATGCGCACCCAGATGGCCTGGATGCAAGGCTTCATGCAGCAAGTGCAGGCAGCCCATGCGGCGCAGACGGAGGGGTTCCAAATGGTCAGGGATCCCTGAACCAGCTGCCTGCTGGTTTGCGTCCAGATCAGGTCTGCCATGTGAGATCTGGGTCGCAGCTGCAGACCGCTAGAAGATTGCAGATGAGGGCATTTGGCTTTCATGAAACTCCACTTCCGTGGGACATGACCTTGTCCCGAACTTTCTATTCGAAATTTCTCGCTGGCAGCGAGTGGACACAACATCTTGGGTGGCTGCCCAAGGCTATGCCCGCGAATACTGAGTATGTGGCGATCTTCGAGCAGGAGGAAGCCTTTGTGGCCTGGGGAGAAGATGTGGGCAAGCAGAGGGCGTTGTCATGTGGAGAAAGAAAGCGAGCGGTAGCTGCAGTCGAGAAGATGTTGGCTACTGTCAAGCTCCCAAAACAGTCCGCCAAGCCAAAAGTCCGGATGGCTGATGACCCACGAGGTGAGCAGTTCTGGCAAAGCCTTTGTGCCGAGTGTCCTGATATGTTGGTGTTGGCGGCTACGAAACCAGAGTTCTTCGAGACTGGTTTGAGTAACCTCCTCGACGCGGCAGAGTGGCAACACCAAAGAGGAAAGGCTTTCGTGATTCTTCACGGTAGCGAAATGGCTCAGCTTGTGGAAAGGGGGACTTCGTTTGGTGATTTGCTTGGGAAAAGGGTTCAGAAGCAGTTTGACTCGGGTGTGGTGGCTTTGGGAAACAATTCGTTTCTTCTTCATGCAGTTGAGAAGGCTGTTGCGAGTGGGTTGTTGGAGGGAGCCGAGTTCAACTCCAGCACATTCCACGGGGATGAGAATCTCTTTGAGAACCACGAGGCAAGCCATGCGAACGCCAACAACTCCTTTCAGAACCAGGAGGGCATTTATTTAGCGAATGTGGTGGACGAGAGTGGGAGCCCCGCAGAATGTTTCATCTCCAGTCAGGCAGCAAGGGCGCTAGAGGATAGGGCTACTCGACTGATGCGTCAGGGCGATCTCTCTTACACTTCATTTGAGAAGCTCCTTGACGAGTGGCCTCAGATGTCCTCTAGGCAACGGCCATCTTCCAAGAAGGGAAGCTACTTCTACTTTGGTTTGTATGCGCATGGAGGCCAATGGGGAATTGCAAACAGAACGTATGAGCTTCCCGTTTTCATTGAGTACCTGAACAAGTTCATGAGGTACCAGTGTCGATGTCAGGGGTTTGGACACGCTGTGTGGACCAGCATAGCTGTGGGAGTGAATGCAGGAGCTGGCCCTCATCGTGATCTACACAACAAGAAAGGATGGCCTAGCTACGTCACCGCGGCTGGGAAGTTCAAAGGAGGACAGCTTTGGACAGCAGACAACGTCCTTGATGCGGACAAGACCAAGGTTGCCAAGCACATGCCGGATGGTGTCCGAAGACTTGGTCAGCTTCATGACATCAGTTACAAAGTGTGTGAGTTTGACCCAGAAGTTTGGCATGCATCACAGCCGTGGTCAGGACGAAGGTATGTGGTCTCAGCGTACACGGTTCGGAGCGTGGATGTGGCCTCAGTGGACACGCTTGCTCAGCTTCGAAGTTTTGGATTCGAGGTGCCCAGTGTCAGCTACCTCACCATGTTCGATGGTTCATTGCGGGAGGTGGAACCTGATACAGCGAGGATCTTTGCGGAGGTGGCTGGAGAGGAAGAAGAAGCTGTGGACGTTGAGCAGCCGCTTGTGGACGCCAATGTGGAGCCAACAGAGGAAGAGAAGAGGCTCATCAAGAAGCTGCACGAAAACATGGGTCATCCGGCTCCAAGAGAGATGGCAAGATCACTGAGGATTGCTCATGCCAAGCCACATGTGGTGAGATACGTGGCGAAATCCTTCAAATGTGATGCCTGTGAAGCAAGGCCTCGCCCCAAACCGGCGAAGCCGGCCGTGTTGCCGAAAAGCTACGAGCCAGGGAAGGTGGTTGGCGTTGACGTGGTGTTCTTGAGTTCGCTGGACAAGAGGGAGACGTTTCCCGCGCTGAGTATGGTGGATTGGGGAACTGGCTATCAGATGGTCGAGAGGCTCAAGAATATGGAGTCGGACCACGCTTGGAGGACGTTTCTGAGAGTGTGGGGTCGTGTGTTTGGAGTTCCAGAAATTCTGGTGGCCGATTTGGGAACAGAATTTAGAGGTCAGTTTGTTGAACTTGCTTCCCAAGCTGGCGCACTGGTCCGACATACTGCAGCCCGCAGTCCTTGGCAGGCTGGAAAAACGGAGAGAGCAGGAGCCCACTTCAAACATATCTTTGAGCGAGCTCGTGATGTCGCTCAAATCAGCTCATGGGAGGAACTCAAGACCCTGGTCTATGAGGGCAAAGAACAGATACGGCAACCGAAGTGGGTTTTCTCCTATGCAGCGGCAAATTGGACACAGTCTGCGGCTACCTGGATCACTGCTGTCGGATGACCCTTTGGATCCACGGTTGGTGGTTCAGAGCGCTGGGGAAGAGATGAGAAGGGTTATGGACATTCGTCAGGCTGCGCAAGAGGCTTACATCAAGTCCCAGACTGAGCTGGCCATCACCAGGGCGAAGAACTCCAGATCAAGACCTATGCCAACGTTTCTCCCTGGAGAAGTGGTATATGTGTACCGTCAGCCCAGAGAACGCAAGCGCAGACATGAGATGACGGAGGAGGCACATGAGGGCAAGAAGCCGATTTGGGTTGGCCCAGGTGTGGTCTTGGCCCTTGAGCTTCCCAGCCTTTGGATATGAGAGGCGAGCTGTGGAAGGTGAGCGTGGAGCAGTGCAGACATGCAACCAGTCAGGAACAGATGGCCAAGGAGCTGTTGGCGGGCGAGCTGGAGGCGCTGAAGGAAGAACTCGGTAGAACTGCTCAGAAAAGAACCTTCAAGGACATGACTAGGGAGGAGTTTCCGCCAATAGAGGGGGAGGACAACTCAGGCGGACGAGACCGAGAAGGCGGAGTTGAATGGGTTCCAGATGATCGACCTGCTCAGCGACGACGTGTTCTCAGTCCTGAAGAAATTCCTGTTCCTCAGGGCGATGATGATGATCTAAGCGAGTTCTATGAGCCGAGCGAACATCTTCCTCATGCAGATGAAGCGGCTGGAGTGAGCAGTCGACGCACCAGCGAGGCAAGCTCGAATCTTAGGCCCACAGTGGGTGAGCCAGAGCCTTGGCCGTCACCTGGAGTGGAACCAGTGGCGGAGATGCATCCTATGGCGGCCAACGCAGATCCTGGAGACAGCTCAGGCTGTTATGAGAAACGAGGTGCTGGATGGCAACCCGCCTGGAAGTGCTCCATACGAGGCGGCGCGAAGACTTCGTCGACTACGTATAGAGGAGGAGACCAGGCCTTACTGGAGTGTCAAAGATGAGGGAGCCACTGCGCGTGTTTGGTTCTCACTCGAGAATGGCAAGTGGAAGCAGGAGAAAGACTTCTGGGAGGTCGTGGACCGCGACACCATGGTGTGCTACCACAACGAGCCTCGAAGTGCCCTTCTGAACCCAGCCAAAGTTCGTGGAGTGGCTATGACTCGTAGATTGAAGCATAGACACACGTTCATGGTGGACGAGAAGGGCGATGTCACGATGAACTGAGACAACTGGTTCAAACTGAGGCGGAGAACCACCTGCAATCCTGGAAGCTGGACTGGATTCACGATCTTTTCAAGTCGAGTTCTGGAAGTGGAGAACTTTCTCAACGGCAAGCCGCGTGGCCAGGGTGAGATATACGAACATGAAATAAAACCCCACGAATGGGAAGGTTGGCATGCCTCAGACGCTGCCGAGTGGCATAAGATCGAAGGGACAAATGCCATAAGGGTGCTCAGCGTGGCTGAATCACGCGAGGTCCGGCGAACACTGCAAGAGCAGAACCAGCTTGATGGAATTTTGCCGTCTCGCATGGTCCGGCGCTGGAAGCCGGGTGAGCAACCAGGATCTCCTGATACCCGGAAGTCGAGGTGGTGCATCCTGCAACGGTACGCCCCCACGCTCAACTCGACCTCCTTCGGCGTCCTACTTCAGACTGCGGCGTCTATGCAGTATCCCGCCTCAGTAGGAGACTGCAAAAGTGCATTCTGTCAATCTCTTCCGCTGCACAGAAGCGCAGGCAAGCTCTACGCTAGCCAGCCGAAGGCCGGAATCAAAGGCTTGGATCCGGAGCAGATCGTGGAGATCGTTGCTGGATGCTACGGATTGGGTGACGCTCCGGCGCATTGGCGCAAAACCCTCAAGGCAGCGGTGCTGGAACTTGGGTACCGCGAGAGTGTCATCGACCCGACCATCTACTACTTGCACGACAAAAGCAAGCTGCAAGGAGCCATCGCCATCGAAGTTGATGATCTCTTTACCTTTGGGAGTTCACAGCACTACGAGAAGATTGCTCAGTTGCGCTCTCGTTTTGAGTTCGGCAAGTTTGACTTCTTGCAGGAGATGGAGCAATTTCAATGGCCGAAGGGTGCAGCAGAATGCCGACTTTAGTTTCCAAGTGGACATGCTGAAGTTCGTCACACAGAGGCTGGACCCTGTTTCTTTGGCGAAAGGCAGGAAAGCGACCCCTAAAGCCTTGGCCTCCGACTCCGAGGTTTCTCAACTTCGTGCAGTGGTCGGCGCTTTGAGTTGGTTGGGAAAGGAGGGAAGGCCTGATGCATCGGCGGCTGCAAGCTTGGGCTCAGCAGTGTTTCCCAAGCCGACCGTTCAGGACATCATCGATGTCAACAAAGCAGTTCACCTAATCAAGAGCTATCCCGACCTCTCCATCAAGATCCGTGCTATCGCAGTGGAGAACTTGGCATGGGGTGTGGCCTCAGACGCGAGCTTTGCCAATGCCTATGGAGGGCATAGTCAAGGTGCCTATGGGATCATCGCCTTCCACGAGGATCTCCAACGAGGTCGACGTGTGCCGTGTTCGCTGATAAGTTGGAAGAGCAGTCGTATCCAAAAGGTTGTGAACTCAACTTTGGCGGCGGAGACTCAGAGTCTGTCCAAGGGACTCGGCGAACTTTGCTGGGTGGTCTCCGAGCTGATCGACCCTAAGTTCGAGCTCGCCGAGTGGGAGACGCGGCTGCAGGACAACAAGATCCTCGCCATTGCTAAGGACGAGTCTCAGGACCAGCTCAAGGAGTCTCTGTGCATCGTTGACGCGAAGGCGTTGTACGACCACTTGTCCCGAGAATCCACTGGACCCAGTCAAGACAAGCGGACTTCGCTGGAAATCCAAATGGTTCGCCAGAACATGAATGCTATCAAAAGCGTTGTGAGGTGGGTGCCTCATCCCAACATGATTGTGGACGGCCTCACCAAGAAGTTTGGGAACATGACAGCGCTGTACGACCTCCTGAACACCGGTGAGTACAAGATCGTCAATGAGGCACAGGCCCTGGAGGTCAAGAGAGATGAGCGGGAACAACTAGGCTACAACAAGCGTTAGGGCAGGCAACACGAAAGGCCTCACTTTCAGGAACGAAGTTCCGGGGGCTGTGAATGCATGTAGCAGAAGCCCTTCCTGAAAGTCCCAGCTCATGTGCAGGTTGAGCGGTGCTGTCGCTGTGTCGGCCCAAAGGGGCCCCTTGAGATCACTTGGCACGCAGTCCGAGTCTAATAGGAAAAGAGTGCTTGCGCTGCTTTCATGGGTGGAGCCACCTGTGTTGTCTTGTTGGACTCACACTATGACTAGCTGCCATCCCGCACGCGGTGCTTTCATTATTCTGCATTGTAGCAGGGCCATCCGGACCTAAGCCTGATTGCAGGCACTTGGTGTGCCACGGCGCCAACAACGCTTAGTGTCAGGCGTGGCTCCACTTCGCGAATCCGACCGTGGCTCGGATGGATCATAGCGTCAGCTGCGAAAGAGCGGGCAGTTTCTACGGAAGTTTCAGTGTGAGCATGTGTGAGGCACCTGAATAGAAAGGTAGGATTCCATTGTCCCAGCTTGTAAAGCTCCAGCAACTGTTGCACAGAAGACGAATTCTTCAGCCGCAGGGCTGACAGTCAAGGACTCGGTGATGTACTGACCGACAACCAGGTCACGTTCATGCGGATCGCTGTATCAGCTGAAGCTGAAAGCTGGAGCCTTGGTTGCAGCTCCAGGAATCAGGAATCTTGACATCCTTGAGAGCCAGCGCCATCTCCCAACATGGCTGTTCTGGCTGAGGAGGCAGAAGGCTTTGAGACAGGGATGCTAACGCGCTTTCTGCGCGACGAAATCATTCGAGCTATGCCACCTCAAGCTCAGGATTCGTCGCGTTCGCCAACGCTCCGCCGAACTCAGCAAAGCACCGGATGCCATGAAGAGGGACCATGAAGTCGTTTTGGCGGCTATGCAAGGGGATTCTCAGTCAGCTTTGGACAGACTTTGTCACAGCTTGCTGATGCAGATCATGCTCCCAGAGATCTCAGTCAAGTCAGCTCACTACCCCCCCCGTTTGCAGCTGTGGAAACAAGAGCTCACAAGTACAAAGTGAACAGGAAATTGCTGCAAACTGTTTCTTGCGCACAGTGCGCGAGATAGGAGGGAACGTGAAATCACAGATGCAGATCAAATTCAGGTTTGCCCTGACTTAGGACAAGGCCGTGATCCGATTCGCGGCACCGGAGCTCAAGCTTGAATGGATTGGGAGTGGGGAAAGGTTTTTTTACCACACAACTCCAAGCCATGGACTCTGTAGCTGAAAGGAGCTGCTGGGTGACCGAGACTTTGCAGCAGCAGTTGTTGCTTGGTCTGGAGAGGCCACGGATGTGGGGGTACCAGCGGAGGGCCCTGTGGAAGTTTGAAACACGCCGCGCGTGATAGCGGAGACTCAGAGAAGAAATGGGAAGCTGCAGCCTTGAGCTAGGCGTGTTGTGGTAGGAACCGGGCAGCATTTGTGTGGTCGGCAGAAGAGCATGTTTGAGCGGCAAAGAGTAGGAGGACTGGGGGAGCGAGCGAGCGAGCGAGAGGGAGTGCTTTGTCAAGCCGACAGCCGCAGTGAGGAAAACCTGAAACCGCAGGACTTTGAACAAAACAAGGCATGTAGCAACTGTGAGCCCGGCAGCGTGGGGAAGACAGATCAGAAGAACACATGGGTGGTTGTCAAAATTATGGTCCCTTTTTGGTTCCCTATTTTAGCACGGCACCCAGGGTACCCAAAAAGGGACCACAATTTTGACAATTGACCACGGGACACGAGATTGGCTGGTTCTATCTTGAGCGCAGGCACTGGAACATTTGCCTCCATCTTGGAGGGCTGCACCCTGCCTTGACAAATCAGACATACATAAAGGAAGTAGATACTATGTTACACTATATTATATTATATTGTACTATATTCTACTATATTCTACTTTATACCATATTATACTATATTAGACTTGTTTTGAACGTTCGCAGGAGCCTGAACCTACACCTGAACTGAGGACAGAGGTATCGTTCTGACTGCGGTCAAGCAGAACCCTCACTCCATCCAGCATGCATCCGATTCGCTGAGATCACAGAAAGACTTTTTGTCCGGTGCTCAGCGAGGAAAGCATTGCTGTTTCGCAGTGCTTGACATACCGCATTTTGGTAGTTTCCATAAATAGGGTGAAATACAAACCCCAAAGCTACAATCCTCATTATTGGGACCCGTAAAGTGGTACCTCTAGTTTTGGGAAACCACCAATGCCCATAAACCCCTTTGTAATCCCAGTTCCCATTTCACTTTCCATCTTCTTTTCCATTTGATTCTCCATCATTCGGGATAATATCCCTTCTAAACACTAAATAACCTCTATATACCCCTGTACACCCCTACATAATCCACCCTGCTCTAACCCTTATATAACCCATATACAACCGCATCTGGAAACCTGGACAGGTTGGATGCCATCCGCTGTAGCAAAGGCTTGGCCCTGCGAAGTCTGGGTGCCCTGGCATGCCCTGGCAGCTTCAGGTTATCTAGAGGTTATATAAGTGTTATACAGGGGTTGTGTTGCATAGGGGTTATAATAATATTGGGGTTTTATGGTTATGAATATAGATATAGGGGCTATCTCAGGGTTGTATAGGGGTTATATACCTGTCATGTGGGGGGTTATGTAAGGCGATATAGGGTTATATAAGGGTTATACAGGGGCTATAATTATGTAGGGGCTATATAGGGAATGCGGCACGCATGTTTGCTGTCCATTTCTGATTCTGAAGGTCAAGACAGGATAATCGATCGAGAGCTACAACAGGCTGCTGTCCATGAAAATTGGATGATGCTGGGCTGGCTACTGCAGCAAGACCCCACCCTCTGACACTCAGCTGCCTGCTTACCACTCCTTATATAACCCCTATATACCCCCTATAGCTATATAATCCCTATACAACCCTTTATAACCGCTATAAACCCCTATTTCGGAGCAGCTGGCTGCCCTGAGAGTAGCCCAGGTACCGATGCAGAGATTGTTTCTGCGGCAGTGGCAAACAACGGCTGTGAGTCTTGTCCGCATTGCATTATGAGATGCAGTTCGTAGTTGACAATTTTAGCCTTTAGATCCTTATTTTCAGGTGTGCTAAGTGTCGGACGCAGGCGCTCGAGTTTGCTTCCTCCGATCTCCGAGACGACTCAGAACTCGTGGCCTTGGCGCTGAAGCAGTGCCTGGGAAAGTATTATTGCAAGGTGTCGCAGGAAGTTTCCTCCGAAAGATTTCGCCGTGCGATCTTTGGTGAACTGATTGCTTGAACGGACATGGTAATTAACAAATTCTCTTCCCACTGAGAAGCCGGGGCGCAGCTTTGCGATGGGCTTCGGAAGCACGCCGGGCAGAGAGGCGGGATTCTGATGGGTCGTAGCATGACAAGCCTGAAGTCAAGTACACCGTCAAACCATGCAGCCGAGAAATCCCGTTCCCGCGTCTACCTCCACTCATAGACACTCGGGGGCAAGGGGTTACACAGAGGTAAGGATATAACCCCAAGAATGGAGAATCAAATGGACAAGAACATGGAAAATCAAATGGAAGCTGGGGCTCAAACATGATTTTCACCTAGTTGCTGTAGCTCACCTCTTAATGCTATACCCCCCGGAAACTAACATGGAAACCCAGACAAAGAAAGATTACTGTCCCTTTAAACAGGGGCTATATGTGTTTCCATGTTAGTTTGGGGGAGTATAATCCTGGGTTTGGTGGCTCGCCTTTCGTTGTTTGAGTTGGTGATCAAATGTGCTTGGCAAAACCTTAAGCTAGGTGGCACTTCTGGATAGTTACTAATTTCCTGTATTGTGGTACAAGGGACCCTGTTCGTAAATATTTTGGGGGCCCTAAAAGTACCACCTTCTAAGTAAGTTTGCAAGTTCCCGACCCTTCATGGCTTAGCCAGCATGCCTAGCAGTAGTTAAAAAGAAGCGATCACCGCATTGCCCGTAGAGGGATTTCCCCAAATTAGGGATACCTTTCTGGGAGGGGTTCATATCAGAAGAAATATCGTGTTATGGGGTCTATGTTGGGTCCCGTTGTTTAGGGATGACTCCCATATAACCATGCCCAAGGGACTTGGTTCACGCAGCTGTCGGACTTGACGCCACCATGCTAAAGTACGCCTCGGAGGAGCGGGAGTCATTATGGTGGAAAATCATCTATGCGGGCTCTCTCACTTATGCCAGACATTGCCAGACAAAGATTGGGCTTATAGAGTCAAAGTACAGTACTCTTTTGGAAGGCGTCCGGATTGTAGCCAAGTGCAAGGCCGGGCTTACAGATTTCAATCCGCTAGATGGCCAGAAGTGATGCTGCAAGGACCTTCGTGGCGACTCGACTGTTGTGATGGAAGCTGTCAAGCGCAGCCTGGCATAAAGTGCAATTGACTTAGCAGCACCTCTTGTCATTGCCGAACCATGCTGGCGGACTTCAATATACCATGTAACTAATTATGCAAAATACGATGGAGTGGCAACCTGAGCGTTCAGCGTGATAAGGCGGCAACTCAGGCGTTTGGCTTTGCCCCACGTAGGCGCTAGGACCGTGATAGCGTGGCGCTAGGCGTTCCTTTCATCATAGGATTTATGGTTACGTTTCAGGGATGAACTGATGGGAGTCTCACCTGACTTGAGAGTAATACTAGCTTGAGTTTCAGTAGCTCTAACATACCCGGCGACAACGCTCATGTCTTATGATGATGGCGCTAGTATGTTTTGTAAGGCTTTCTGCAGAAGAGTCAGTACTACTCTTATTTAGATTCCCAAGCCATCATCCCAGACTTCCTGATTGTTTTTCGTCGTAACCCGTCACCATGAGTTTTCCGTCAGTTGCCGTTCCTGGGAGAAGGGATATTGACAGCCATCCATATGCATGAGCTCAGCACCTGAGCAGCGTGATGCGGAGCAAAAGGGTCGAATCAGAGAGGCAATGGCAACGCCTTGCGCTTCGCGGCTGCATCCCTGAGAAAGGACAGGCAAGTCGTCAAGGCTGAGAGACTCGCTTCTTGACCTCCGAAGGGTTTTGGGTGCTCTCTACACTGCCTGGCAAGACAGAGGTTTAATGTGATCAGTCATTATCTTCAGGACAGGCTCTGGGAGATCACATCCACATCAGTTGGTGTCTTGCAGCATTGGCTCGAACATTTTTGCTGGTGCCATAGCGGTGCCTTGGCACTAGCGCGTTGTTTCCCCTGGCTAGTCTTCAAAGGCCCGGGCACGATTTGGTAGCAATAGCCTTGTCGCTCGGTTTGTGCTTCCTGTGCTGGGGAACATGTAGGCGATCCACTGACTTTCTTTGCGTTGCTGTGTGAAGCTTGGAGGTTGCAAACCCGATGGCTCGACGATGTTCTCCAAGGTTGGACCAAGCCCTTGAAGAAGTGACCGGATGGTTCACGACTGCAGGCCAGGCATGGGGTATAATCTAGGGGTTATATAAGGGTTATATATATATGGGGCTATATAGGGGTTATATAGGGAAAATGGAAAAGAACATGGAAACAACTTACGCCAGGGTGACGTTGCCCCGAGGTGAGGACGAGCCCAAAGCGAAGGACTTCCCCTTCGGCTATGTATCTGCAGGAAGGCTGCGGCCACCTGCGGATATGAAGCCCTACGCCGGCCCGGGTTGCAAGATTCCCGTCGGACCAGAACCTACAGCAGTCTGTTTGGCTACTGCTAAGGCTGTTTTGGAACAGTCGCATGAGGATTTTTTGCCGCTGCTGAATTGTCTGGAGGGTCCTAGTGATCAGACCCCGGAACAGCAGCCCGACAAGGCTGCTCCAGTCCTCACTTGTGCTGCGGAAGGTCCTGGGTCGTCAGCAGATTGCGGTGCATCCAACAAGAACAAGGGGACAGAACAGCAGGAACGGGAGTCACCGGACCTCCAAGAGAACCAGTGGCGGCGAAGCACGAAAACCAAGAAGGGTCGAAGGTCCTGGAATGCTTTCCCTGTCAGCCCGGGGCTAGTGAGCACCGTGCAGCGCAGCTGTGCCAGCTGCCTTCAAAATCCCAAAGAAGCTGCCCAAGAGAAGCTTCGTGAATTTCACGAGAGTGCCTCCGAGAAAGCTTCAAGCCAATCCTGCCAGAGATGGACTGAGATCACATTCTCCCAGGTAGATGCAGACAAGAAGCAGAAGGGCGTTGCCAAGACACGGATAGGTGCAGGGAAGGAGATTAGCATTGCGGGCAGCCTGGCCACAGACGACTGCAGGAGCACCAGTCAAAAGGAAACAGGGCGCTTTCGCATCCGCATAACGCCCCAGCAGTTCAGTCCATTGGGCACTTTGTTTAGGGATGTCCAGGTGGACTTCTTTCCAAACTGCTTCACAATTCGGGCCATTGATTGTGGAGGCTATGCATGGACGGCTCATTCCAGCGTTCTACCGGGCCGCCTCGACACTGGCAAGTCCAAGTTTATCGTCAGCCCAACGGGCAGGGATGTGGTGATCAGTCTCTGCAAGGCTGACTGCGGCCAGTCTTGGAAAGAGTTGACTAGGCTTGAACTCACACGACCCTACGGTCTTCCGGGTCAGGGTAGCAGCTAACGCAAGATCCCGGCCCATGCGACGAAGGCGTTTCGGGCCCAAAGCCCAAGCCGAAGAAAAGTGCGAATTTGCAGCCTACACATGTTGGGCAGAGAACGGTCTGATAATGTGCTGCCTACTGTGCCTGTCGCGCACAGCGTGGCCATCTTCCTGTATGTTTAGACAGCCCAGCTCTGCTCATTGTGCAACAGCCTGATCTGCAAAACCTCGGAGAACCTAAGAGCTGGGACTGTTCCTGTTTCCGCTGAAGCGGGGATGCTGCGCGGGCTTTTTTCGGTTTGCCGGCCATTCTTAACCGAACGCAGCCCAGGGCTCGGCACCCTTTAGAGTTGACCTGCAGCATTTGGATAAGCTCAAAGCTCAAAAGCTCGGCAGGCTAAGTGAGTCAGCTGCGTAGGCTGTTCGGCCAGAGTTTATTTAGGCCTGTAGCTTGGCCAGATGCTGCTGGTTAACTTCACTTATGTTTTTTGAAAATGTTGCCTGTGCCTGTGACTGAGGGAGAGCTGTCCTGCAGATCACTAATTACCTGTAATTAGCAGAACAAAGCCTAGCTTATGCAAGCGTCCAAAGAGCAGTGCTGGCCAGACCTGAGCCAGACTATGCTGGTTTGGACCAGACTATGCTGGTTTGGCGCACACCCAGCACGCCTTGATCTCCCCAGTCGCTGAGCCGTTTGGAACCCATTGCAGTCTGGCGGGACTTCACCCGACTAGACATCACACAACTAGACGTAATGCTCACATAGTGGAATCCGCTGCTGTGCAGTCCACTGCCGGGCTGAAGTTATCGTTAAGCTTCAGTTCAACCTGTTGCATGCACCTTTTCGGAGGAATCGACCTCAGACAGTGAAGGCGCAGACCTGACTTCAGCTGTGCCAGAGGACAATGAAGCGTGAGATTCTTTCCGGGTGTCTTAACCCCTCTCTTCGTCGTTTTGTTGCTGCAATTTGACGCCTGCCTCAAACATCAGATGGTCTGTTTCGTAGCCTGACAGGCCGCTTTGCAGCAGGCTGGTCCCCATGTTCTGGCCTTTGCTGGGGGACTCATGGCCTGAAAGCATCGGAGGTGGTCCAAAGATGTGATCAGACCTTGCTACTACTCGTAGGTACTTCTTGAAGGGCGCGCGTGCGCTTAGCAGCAGAAGCAGCAGCAGCAGCAGCAAGGGTTGATGAGTTGATGGTTGCTTGCGCTCAGAAATTCACGTCATGATTGCACACAAGGAGAAGTTGCTGAGACGCTGCTGGCGGAGATGGGGCTGAGCGACTCTTTCGACATTTTCGCGGATCTCACGCATTGAGCAAAAGATGGCATGTTCAGTGTTTCTGCTCCTCTCGGGCATCAAATGCGTGATGAGCAGATGCAGCAATTTGGCATGCGCAAGTCGTGGCACAGGTGCTTAGCGGGACATGTCATCCCTCAATAGAGGAAGCATGGAGCACAGAGGAGAGCGCTCAATGGCCGTGACTGATGCACAAACAGCAAGATGGCATGAGGGATGTCTTTAGCCTGCCCAGCGTCTTCCGGTAGAGGTGCAGCAAAGACGAACATGAGCCCTTTATCGCTGCCCAAAACGGGCTACTGATGAGAGCCAACCGCGGCAGCCCATGTTGGGGAATGGAGATGAGGGAGGACCTTGCCCCCCATGTGACCCCAATGTCATGCCTGACTGACCACCCAAAGATTCGGCCACTGCATGGGACCTGTCGAGGACCTATTAGCAAGACCTGGCCCCCCAAGGAGCCAACGAGGCGCATAAGGAGAGAGTTCGTCTTGATTGCAGTTGGAGCATTTTGAGGCACTGTGAAGCAGGTTAACACGATTGAACATGATTGCGTCATCATAGAGCATCACAGGCCGTTTTTCGCACCAAGCCCTCAACCAAAGGCTATTGCAACTGCAGCCAAGCTGCCCCTGAAGGTCCACACCTCACAGGCTTCACCCTAGACTTGCCCAAGGCGGCTGGAGCCAGATCTATAGCATCTTGAAATGAATGATTTCTCCATTGCGTTCACATTGCACTCGTAGCCGCCAGTATTGGATGCCCAAATTGCGCAAGACGTCTGTCAGCAGGTCGGGAGGCAAGAGGTAGTTGCCGCATCGAAATTGCAGAAACATGCAAGCAGTACTGAGCCGCATTGCATGGCGGGTGGGGGTCCAGGCCGCAACCCAATCCAAACACACCGTTTCAGACTGCTTGCTGCCCAGTCTGGCTTTCAATGACAGACTCGCCGCCGAGCAGGGGGTGAGGCGTCAAATAGGCTAGAAAGACAAGACGTGTCAGGGTTGTTCTGAAAGCTTGTAGTATTCTTGTTCCCGTGAAGTTCTGCAATAAAGGCAAAGTGCCGACAGCACCGCATGATGTTCGCTTCATACGGGTGCCTGGGGGCTGGCGACCTCGTGTTCGGAAGGCTGGTGCTTTACTGACGGGCTGAAATTGCTTTAAAGGCTTATTCAAGCTGGCTAGGCACCCGCTCTGGAAATCACACTGGCGGCCGCAAGATCAAGGATTCAGGACTGCTCTCCTGCGAACTCCATGGGCCAGTAACAGTTGCCTGCCAAGGCTGCTCTCATTCAGATTCATGCTGTTTCAGGATGTTATGACGCTCTCGCCGCATGAACTTCCAGAAGGTCAGCCTGCCTGAAGCTTGAGGGGTGCAAGGATACAGGGCTGTAGACTGTCCTGGTCATTTGCCAGCGTGTTGGATCTTGCCCGCCTAGTTGGTGATGCAGGCGAGCCATCGCCGCGCTGGGAGGTTCTCCAGGGCATGCATCGTGACGTCTCGCAGGCTTCAATGATGACTGCCCCTCGTCAATGGAGAGCATAGCCCAGAGCCATGTGGCTAACGGTGGCGGTGCCGCCGAAGCACCTTGAACCTGATGTACAGATCACCTATGAGAAATTTGAGACTTGCTGGCCTGGCATACGCACCCAGATGTGGCCTCACTTACTGGCAACGTGTCCTTGTCAAAAGCAGACGCGTAGTTACCATCATCAAAAGCGGTTCTTGAAAGCAAGCGTCGTCACGAGCAACACCCTCACCGCGGTACGCCCTAGACAGGTGGTGAGACCAACCAAATGCCATCCACCTATGTACTACTGTGCTGCTCATCCGAAGCAGCAATAACAAGGTTTACCATAGGACTCTTAGGACTCAACAGTTTCTCCACAGAAATTGTTGCCCCTCACTGCAGGCCAGCTCGAGAGTGACAACTGTTGGGCCCAGCGCTTTGTCTCTGACACGTCCAGACGGACAGCCGCGGGAAAAGCGGCCGTACAGGCTGGGCTCCAGTTTTACTGAAAGCCATAAACAGAATCATAAGACTTGGAACGAGTGCAAGAGCGTATACACTACAGATACCACAGACCAAGACGTGAAGTTGTTGTTCAGGGATTGCTACCGCTTGAACGGGAGGCGTGATCCGCACCTGTCTCCTGCCATCCGACAGTGGCCGTCGAGATTTCTCAAGGAGATGCAGAGTCCCTTGCAGTCTCAAAGCTTCGCACGCAGGTTCAGGTATTTCTTGCAAGCGAAATCACTGTTTTGACTCATGGTGTTTAAAGATTCGGCCTGGTACTCCTACTCGTTGGGTCGTTGAAGGAGAATCAGCACCACCTGGAGAGAGCCCAAGTCAGCGACGACCCGCTGGACAACGTGCTCTGTCAGATCTTGGCTTTGAAGCGTTAGGATCCGGGTAGAACTCAGGTTCTGTTTCCTTACTGGACAGTTCAGGAGTTACAATAAAGCTTGCCAGCACGCTTGCATGGACCTCCCGGCCATGTCAAAGAGGAAATCCCAGGCGGGTGATTTGCCAGATGAAAGGGTGTTAAGAACTCAGAATGGGCATTTGGCCCTGAGACCCGGCCATTGCCAGTTGCATATTCCCTGCCTCAACCTGACTCCAGCGGGTGCATGACCGTTCATGCTGCGCATCGAAGGCTTTGGAGGAGCTGAAGACCTTGTGCCTCGACTATCCCACTGGTGCTTAAAGGAGAGTGGGGGAGTGGATCCCTCTAATACTCCCTATATAACCCCCTATACCTTTATAATGGTACTTATACTCACTCCCTCACCACTCCCCGTCAAGTACCGGTGAGCTATGCATGACATGCGTAGGGCTTGCGGCAGCAGTGTGGTTTGATGAAGCATCCAGCGCTCGGAGTGATCTTGCCACCGGTTAGGATCATGTCTCTTTCTTTTTTGGGGGGAGAGGCAAAATTAGGAGTACTTTTTAAGGAAATATAGGAGATATATTGGGATATGTAGGGTTTATAGGGGTTGGCTTCAGCAAATCTGGAGAATGAGCCAGTAGTGCTCATGATCGGGATGCTTCGGCCAGAGAGCTGGCAATTGAACAAGTCCAGCAGCAAAAAAAAGGGGTTTCCCAAAATTCAAGGCACTTTTTTGGGGGTACCTATAACAAGGGTTATAGCATATTGGAGTCTATATTGGGGTCCCGCTATTTAGGAAAACTACCAGACCAGCAAACTGCTGAGGATCCTCAAGCGAAGCACGTCTCGGGGGAGCAGCAAGGCATCGAGCAGCAGGCAGGCCACACAGACCCTGTGAGCAATCACTGTTGCTTCTGATTCTGATATCAATGCCTCTGGGACCATGCAGGGCCGGTAATCGTTTATGTTTGAAGACTAACTCGTAGGTAGTCCCAGACGGGGACACTGTAGCAACCCTGTTGTGCCTACATCCTTGCCTCACTGGCACCGTCAGGTCACGGCGGAGCAGCCCTGCTCCTGCGGTCTCCACCCGTGCGAGCATCCTGGGCCGCCGTGGAAGCCAAATGGGTGCCTGGGATGAAATGTTAAAAATCCTGTTGACATCGAAGTGGTCCCCCCCCAATCTCTACCTAACAGTACTGAATTTAGCTAAGTCTTGACTTCATGAGTTATACCATCCCTCCTGAGGGCCATGAACAGATGTGTATTTCGGATGATGATGATGATGATGATGATGATGGGCAGACAGGGCGAGCCAAAACAGAAGTATACTTCTCAGCTAACTAGTGCTGGCAGAAGCGATTGAAGCATTTTATGGCCATTCAATGGCAGGCCTGACAAGTCGGCGTGGCTCCATTGGCGATCTGTCCGAGAAGATGCTTGGTTTGCTTGGTTCCCCTTTTGTTGTAAGTGCCAATCAAGGCCTGTTCTGAGGTGGAATGGAACTTGTCTGCGGGAGTTTGCATTGTTATCGGACCCTGTTTACACGTGGAAGCTGTTACCTCAACTCAGAACTTGGGAGCTCTGAACACAGGTCGCGGTAAGAGGCAGAATGTCTAATCTTCTTGTCTATTCCTGCTGGTGCTGCAGCGCGGTGTGAATCTGAGACTGCGACGTGCCTCTGCAACTTCACTGGGTGTGTCCTCAACCCACTCCATGAGTGACTCATCAGGCGGGCATGAAGGTAGCAGACCTGCAATTTGGACCTGTCTCTAAGACAGTGCTCTAGTTGCTTGTTGCAGCCCATGCCTCGGACAAAAAGTTTTCGTGTTCCGCCCCTCTCCGAGCAATGGGATTCTGAGCCATGATATCGGCTCTTTGTAACTTGCGTGTCACAGTGATTTGTAACTGTTGGGAGGCGAAGATCCGTTTGTGGCAGCTCGCGCAGCTGCGGAAGAGGCACAGGCTGAAGCCGAGGAAGCAGGCACCTATCTGCTTCAGTTGTAGAGAGCGGATCTTCCGGGGCTTTCTGCCCTGGTCTTGTGCGGGATGTGTATTGCATCATCCTTTTGAGCAAGCTAGGAAAGTGCTACGGCAATAAGGCTAGAAAGGTTTCATAGGTGGCCTCGCATCTCGCCGACTTGGACCAAGAATGTAGTTGTTCTATTGGCTCTGCTTGCAAGTCTGCGAGGGCAGATTTCAGCTGTAGACGGGTAGGCCGTGGTTCCAGAACGATCTGCGCGATTTGACACCAGGACTGCCTTCTGAACTTTGTCGTCAGAGAAGACAGGCATGCTATGCGGAGGCGCGGCATCCAACAATGTGGAGGACAACAAAATTGATCCATGGCTCTTCGGTAGGCTCTGTTGAAGATTTCAGACGTGCACGACCTCCAGAACGACCGGCTGCGACCAGGTGCGATTTTAAAGACTCCTGGCCGGGCTTGGCATCTTTCTGCAGATAGAGTTCCGGGGGTTAACCAGGTCCAGAACTTGACTTTAGCGCTGGCTTCTTCACTGAGCATACCTCCCACATATCCGCTCTTCTTCCCCCAGAACAGATGTAGATTTGGGAACCTGGAATCATGGACTTGAGCTCAAGCGGTTCAGGTGGCGGTTTAGAGGACTTCGAGGAGGCTCGAGCTTGCAGACCTGTGCTAGTGGTCCCTTCGATCTTCAGAGGGTAGGGATGCCGTGAGCCGAACAAGTTGTTGCAAGGGGCTGTTCAGAAGTTCTGCTGACAGGTCGACACGGAAGTCGAGAAGCTGATAAAGGACTTCGCCTGCAAGAGTCTGTAGCCCACAAAGCCGCAAAACAATTTTGACAGTGTCGGGAAAAAACTGACACTTGGGCAACTTAATGCTACCAAGAAGCTACAGGAAGACATTGCTGAACTGGCGCAGCTATTCGCCGAGTTCGACGGTGGCCTTGAGGGCGGCAACCTCATTTCACCACAGCCATGTGCAATGTGTCTGAGCCTGTGCCTCCTTGCGGCTCCCTACCTTGACGCCCGTGTACCTAGGCATTATGCAGCAGCATGACCTCCGGTCCGTCCTCAGACTGCTCGGCCGTGCGATGACCGAAGACGAAGTGAGGAATCTGCTGAACTGTTTGGAGTCTGTCGACGATGAGACGCTGGACTTGCAAGAGCGTTCAATATGGGCAACGTAGAGTAAGGCTTTTTGGTGCGAAGAGCCTGGACCCGTTCACAGAAAGGCAGGTCACTGTAGTGCGCGAGGCGAACACTACACTAGGGATTCACGCGCCAAGACCAAGCAGAAAGGATGTCTTTAAGTCACCTGGCAGCTCTGACATTTCTGACATTCCCCCTCTTCTTCTGCTGGGTGAGGAATGGAAGTGGCAGGGACATAGACTTCCGCGAGTTCGTTGAGCTTTGTGACATGAGGCCTGAGGCATGATTGACCGGAAGGCAGCGTGCTTTGGCATCAGCTGCTGGGCTGCTGACAGATGCTGACAGGTTGCACACCGAGAAGCTCTATCTTCGTGGTTTCTATCGAGAACGCACGAGCCCAAGCTTCCAGCAGGTCTGAGCTGCACGGGTCCACCACTATGCAAAAATGCAAGAGAAACCAGTGAACGGCTTGGCTTAGGCTTCCGTGGTGCAAGCAGCAACAGCATCCAACCGCATCTGCGAGACGTTGCCGATGCAATGGAGGGAGTTAAGGCGGGCCAGCGGGCAATACACCAGTCAGCTGCATGTTATCGGTTCCATTTTCGGTGCTTTGAGGTGCACGTTCGCCCAGAGCAGCTCGAGCGGACTGCTCTGGAGCTAGGTGAGCCCGGCTTGTTTGGAACTCACAAGAGATGCAACTCACACATACTCACACCAAGCGGAGACATCTCGTCAATTTCAATTCAGAATGCCAAAAAGGCTTTTTTTCTAAGGCTACCCAGTCTGGGCCGGGTATGTCACCTTGGAGAATGAGTAGCCTGCCTGAAGAGAGGTACAGTTGTCATATTTTTCATATTTGTTCGTGGGATGCGCGTGAAGTGCCTGCACGCATTTAGCCAAGGACACAGCTTTTCGTCCTCGCGCAGAAATGCCGTGAATTGGAGAGGCAGACACTGGGCGCACTTACGAGTTTGGCCGCACCAGGCCACACCCGCAGCTGATGACATCCCTTGCTTCATGCCTCTACTTGAACCAAGGAGAGCATGGGAGAGAGCTGGGTTCTCCTTGGAGCAGGCCAGAGCGCCATCAAGCTAGCCTAGGTGCGATTGCGGTGGCCCAGTCCGTTTTGTGACAATGGAATAGAATCACAGTCTCAGCGGATGGCCATCTAGTATTCTCAAGTGTGCAGTGCTTCTTGACAACAACTGTCATAGCGCTTGTACTTGAAACACTCTCTTGCCGGCTTCTGGTGCTGCGCCTTGTTTCCTTGCAGGTCTCCCGCTTTCAGCAGCTCTTTGACTCGATCTCTACAAAGCACAGTGGTCGAGGTTCTTAACACTTGCTCAGCTTGTTGAAGGCACTGCTCTTCTGGAAGTCGCGCGTGCAGGCATCCGCTTTGAGGGCATCCTGTACATCATCCACCAACTGGGCATCATCCCAAAAAGCCGCGCGGATGAGGCCAGCCGGAACGAAGTGTTTGTGGAGTTGATGATGACAAGCCCCGCGTTGGGATGCCCAAAGAAATTGCGTTAAAGCTCCCTTCAACCGCAGACAAGATACGTCCATTGATAGCTGGGACGATTCTCTTGGGAACTCTTCTATTTGTCACATTGAGCAAATCGGACCTGCTGAAAGCGGCAAGCGGTGGTGTATCCAAGAGTGCTTGCTGGCAAGTGGCAGTGAACGTGTGCAATATGCGCATTTCTCATCTAAGTACTATAGTCAGTATTCATGAATCCTACAGATTCTCCAAAAGAGCCTCTGCAGAGGCCGACTTGGAAGCGACGGCATTCAACGGCCGAGATCGCTCGGAAATCCTGTCCTTCCTGGACTGCTTGCACTCTGCAAGACGGCTCTCTGACGTAATTGTATTTTTAGGGCTCAGGATTTGCATCAAAGCATTTGGCCAGAATGGTGCGTAAATGCTTTGAAATGCTCTCTGACCAGTGCGTTGGTTGGGTTCGAGCACATGATGCATGCAAGCACTCAGCTTCCCTTGATTTTCTTTTTCTGTGGCGCCATGTCCGCCAGAGGGCATATACTCTTGCTTTCACAGGTTCTTGGACAAGAAGGAAATGGATGCGCGATCAAAGGAGTTACGGGCGGCCGACATCGCAGGGATCCCTCAGGCAAGGAGGCTACTGTAGATCATAGATCGCTTATGTTCTGGCAGCTACGTCCTAAGAATCCTGAAGCAAAGCCAGCAAATCTTCTGCTAGCTTGCTCTTGACTTCCTGTGTGCCAGGAAGAGCTGGAGATCTTTCGAGCCACCTAGCCATGAAAGATGATCTGCCATCTGCACACCTGGAAAAAGTCAGCCAAGGCTTTCTACAAGCAGCTGATTGCCGAAGACACCCAAGGCTTTGAGCTCCTGAATTCTCAAGTGAAAGCATGAGCTGAGTTGTTGCCCCAGTTTGATTTCAGGCACTGCTTAGCTAGTCTCAGGCGCATATGAAGATCAGGGCTCGGAGTTGATGCTTAAAACTTGGTTTTGAGGGTCATGTGGTGCAATGGAAAGATGCGCAGGCAACAAGAAGGACTTCTCTTACTTCGCTCTCTGCCGCGGGGTGCAGATAATGGGCGCAACGCTGACCGTTGAGAGGAATGCTGAGCTTGAGCAGAATCTTGAACAAGAAGACCAGGATGATCATTGTCAAGCTTGAAGTCTTCAGTGAAAGTAAGCTCACGGTAGAGACTGTAGAGCAAAGATTTGGATTTTCCAGGGGCATCGCAGCTAAGGATGTTTAAGGAGCATGCAATGTCCTCCAGCGTCTCCTCCAAGCTGCATCTTCCATTCCCAAAGCTGCTTGGATCTCTTTGTCATACGGCCACGAAAATGCACGAACATGTGAGGGTGTATTGCAGGGCGCCTTCTGCTACATGAGCCTGACGGTTCCCAAGCTTCAGGGCCTGAAAGAGCATGCTTCACACTGGCGCAACGGCAGAGAGCATAGGCACAACCTTCATTGAAGACTTTTGTCGATATGGTCTTAAAGCATCAGTACATGTATTATAAGCTTGGCAAAAGCACCCGCCCAAGCTTGGCTTTGTTCGGCCAGGTTACAAAACAAGATTAGAGCGATTTACCCAGCACTAAAGACCCCAAATGGTTCCCTGGAAGGTTTTGTCAGTGCGTGCTGAAGTTAAATAAGCCAACAGTGTGTTCCGGTGATCCTTTGGAGTGGCAGAGATCCTTCCACGTTTTCGCAAGGGTGGCCGAGCGAGCATTGCTAGCGCAAGTACGGCTTCTGAGTCCTCCTGGGCAAGAGCATAAGACAAGAAAGAAACCCCCCAGAATCGCGAGGTTCATCGTCATGATGGGCACTCTGTTCAAGTTGGACTTTGCCGGCCTCAGGCCATCTGCTCAAGTTCCGAAATCCCCTTCTCGCAAAAAAAGGGGCTGGATCATTAGGGATGGCCCTGAAGCTGGCCCTTGAGGACAACTGCTGCCCGGAGCCACAACCACGAGGCTGGGAAGCCTCCTACTGGTAGTTGGCCAGAGACACCAAGGTTGAGGTTGGGTGTGGACCAAAGATGTGTAGTTGATCAAGCGCGCCTTTGTTTTTGAAACCTGCGTTTGAGACATCTTGCAGGATTGTATGATTCGACTTATTTACTGCAACGCAGCTGCCAGGAGAGTGCGTTGATGCGCCGGATGTCAAAGTTCAACAGTGTCCACAAAAGCCCCTCGTACAGATGTTGGAGTTGCAATGCTTGGTTGTTCGTGACATGCATTCGATGCAAAAAGGGCCGGCCTCCATTGTTGACACCTTTCATATTTCACAGTTTTATTTCGGGAAGAGCTGTCCCACCGGAATCCGTTTAGCTTGGGACCAAGGTACCCTGGGCTTGCGTGGCAGAAAGTCAGCAATCCGTGCTTCGCATGGAGGTTGATAGTTGCTGGCACACACCTTGCCACAGCTCAACTATGAACTGACTGCAGTGCAGCTACACAAGCATTGCAAGTGCTGTTTCAGCTTCTGCGGGGCATTTAGTACCTGAACCGAGTTTGGACATGTTCCGGCAGAGATGTTGAGTGCGGCAGAGTGAAGTCAGCCTTGTCAAGAATGGTCAGTGTGCGGCAAATTGTACAGCACAAGACGTTGCCACAGGTAGATTCAGGCCGCCCAGCCAACTGCATCTGTGGTCTTGCAAAGCAGAGCACCAGCTGCCTCATGAGTGAAGCTCACAGGCAGTGCAGTCATGCAGTTGTGCTACACCACGCTTTGCGGCTTGACCTAGTCAAAAGCTCTGTCTGTGAATTGCTATGTCCTAGCAGTCCTAGCTTCACGGCCAAGCTACATGGGGAATTAGGCTCGTACCCGTACCTGCAACTGCATCCTAAGTTGGCTAATTGTCTACCGCAGGAAACCCAACAACAGCATGCTTCCCCTCTGAACGCAATGTGACCCTATTTGTTCCTGCTGACAGCTGAAGAACCCCGAGTACATGCATCACTTTTGTCCTGCTACAGAAGCAGCCACTGCGGGGAGAGAGATGGGGGATTGCTGTGGAAGAGCAATTAAATTACATTCAGAAAGGGGAGTCAGAAAGACAGCGCAAGCCGACAACTAAGAGCTGAGGTCTCAGCCTACAAACTGCCTCTTGCAAAGCGTCGTCCTCCAGGCTGCTTCATGATGCAAGAAGCATCGCCACTCCTGCAAGCGTAATGTACAACAATGTGCACGTTTTTGGTCTCCAATGTTGATCGAGAGGCAGCAGCCATGGCTCTCGACCCCTAGGCGCCGCTGGGGAAGCATCAAATCCAAGCATATTCACATGGTGCAGGAGGGCGAGGATAGAATTCGCAAGCTAACGGTGGCTGATGGGCGCCAAGAGCCACGAACAATCGCGAGCAGAAGACGGTGATCCCTGCCCAATGCCGATAAGGGGTGAGAGTGCTTGCACAGCTGGATTTTTGGAAGTATTGGTTTCAGACAACGCCCTGCAAGTATTGATGAGCTTCATTTGAGCAAGACATGCGGATAATGCTGGCACAGCGCATAGCCTATGAATTCTCGAGAGCTGCGTGCAAAACGGAAAACAAACAACTCCAGACGGCATCAGCGCGAGCCAAGGAAGGCGCTAGATCTGGTGCTTTCCTGCATGTTGCTGCTACAAGAACATAAGCCCGAACTTTGGATATTATATGAAATGATAAACAGAGGTCCAGAAGCCATGCGCGCTAAATTCCAACATCATACACTTGCACCGAGCACCTGATGGGGCCTAGCAGGGTCAGTTGCTTCACATCGATGGCGTCCACTGCTGCACCAGCAGGCTTGACAGGTCATCAAGGAGACATCGTTTCCCTTTGTGGCGATCTCAGCTGCAAATGCTATTTGCACCTCGAAGATTTACCCCGTGTTTCACTCAAGCAATGAATTTGGGAAATGTAGCTTCAGACCTGACGAGTATGGAGACAGGACATCGCAAATTTCCCTTGGTAGTAATCTGTGCGATCGAAGCTGGTGGCAACCCTGGAGCGCCCGAGGCCCTTCGTATACGGAGTCACACTCAACCGGGGGTGGCGGGGGGCCGCTACTTCTGACCTGTAGCCAGACCCTCACATATCTTCATGTCCCGTGCATGAACATCTTCCAGGCAAGCTTTCATCTGGTGGGCATTGCAAGCCAGACTTCTGGAGGCGATGATCGCACGGCACGGCTTTGGTCCTTAGCAGGGTCGCGGACTTTGCCAAGTGCATTGCTGAAACGGGAGGGTGCTGAATCTTCGTCTCTCGCCGCAGGCCTCATGCAGGGGAAGAGCTGATTCGGTTCGATCGACTGCGGGGCAGCGGCGGTGGCTTGGGGCGCTCTCAGGCACAGCGCCAAACATAGCTGGTGCAGACGCGGTCTTTGAGAAGCAAGGCCTCATGGGGATCAGAGGATAATCCCATGCTCGAGCAGGTCCAGGCAGGTTTGTCAATTCTATCTCGCCATGCTTTTGTTTGTGTGGTTGAGCCTGGAGGACTCACATTTCCTTTGTTTGGATGGAGCCATTGCTTTGGCTACCGGGGCGCGCTTGGCAGTGTATCGCTTCCAGCTCCACGTTCAGGACAGATTGCAGTGGGCAGCACTTGAACTGCCAGCAGGGGGCCATGCATGAAAAAGTCTCCGAAACAAAAGGACATGTCCGACGACATCAAACGCTTACAGAGGCGCATGACGGGGGGGGGGGCGGGACGGGCAAAAAATGATCCTCATTTTTTTACGTTTGCCACAAGCATTCCGCAGGCTTGGCTCCTACCGTTGCTGCGGCCTGCTGACGTTGCCTCGCGAGCCTACCGCTGGGCATGGGATTGTTGCCCTTGCGGCCAACAACGCTCGCGGCCCAGGCATGTTGCTTGTGGAACTGAATTAAATGTACACAAGGTAAACATGGCAGCGCAGTGTAGCCCTGCTGGTGTAAATTTGGCCGTTTTTCGATTGGAAACTCAGTGGAAAGGACTAAACTAGACGTATGCTGCCTCGGTACAGTGAACTTGCACAACTGCAGCACAAACGAGGCCGTGCTTTCCGGGACGGTATTGGCGCGGACCTGAACTACTCACAGTTTTGATTTGGATCAACGTGATACACTCAATACATGTGATGCATACAAACACAACACTTAGGTGGCGTCATCCAGCAAACGCCTTTACGTGTGGGATGTGGCTGCCGAGAAGGCTTTACATCATGATTTTGGATCAACAGTGGAAGTCGCCATGACATGTTTGCATTTTGCATTTTTTGTTTCAATCTGGGCACCTTTAGGTGCTTGCTGCTGTCCCAGATCCAATCCACATGAAGGCAGTCACTTGCCTACGCATGGCACAGCCAGCCTCCCAGGCGACGTTGTACCCCAACTAGAACATGACAAATGTCGACCATGTATCATTGTCTCGAATGCGATTTGCCGGATATCATTAAAATAGTTGAGGTAAGATGTGAAGAGAAGATTTCTTCTGACGTGTTACTTGAGAATTTGAATTTGCCTCAGCGCTGCAAATGCTTGATTAATGGATGAAGAGAAAATCGCGATAATTTGCACAACATACATTCATACAGAGCATGTTGGCCCGTCCCAGCAAGTCTTGAGGCCGCACGCCGGGCAGAGTGCAGCGTCAATGGACATGTTCTATTCAGCTGGGCTGGACGGCTGCATCAAGTTGTGGGATCTTCGGACAATGCAGGACCATGTTTGAGTTTGCTGACTTAAACTCTGTGGCAAGTCCTCCATGGCAACAAAAATGATTTATGGCGAATATGCTTGGCGTTTACATGTCTGCAAACTAGCCCTGTTGATAGTGAGGAATGTCGTTGTTTCAGAAGCGGTCCTCACCTCGGCACGGCAGGGAAGACGACTCGTCGTATGCCATGAAAATGCATCAGGCTAGGATGTAGCTTGCTACTGGTTGCAGTTCGTTTGGGCATTCTGCATGCTGTGTTTTCATGCGAAGCGCCTGGGCATGCTAGCATGGCTTGCTGCAACTAAGTTTGGGGGTTGCGCATGAAGCCTCAAACAAGGTCATGTTCACACAGCACAGCGGCTGCACTGCAGGCACAGAGTTGTGAAGACCATGCATGTAACATTCCTACCCACCTTCAATTGCACCTTCAGCTGTACGGCATCACGGGTCAAAGGCCGCTGTTTCGTTTTGTTGGGTTTGGGGCGTTTCAGAGCTGATTGGGGCTGCGCGTGTCAGTTGGTATGGTGTGCTGGTCATGTGGTGGTTGCGCGCACCATGCACAGTTGTAGGTGGAATTTGATGTTTGACCAGCTTTTTGTGCAGCCAACCCTGTTTTCGGAGGATTTGGATTGGCATGGTTTGGCCGCACTGAAGCTCATGAGTTTGTATCATCGGCAGGTTGAGCCCATGTTTGCGCTACATGGCCACGCCATCTGAAGACGGCTGTGTTTGCGCATGAGCCCTGTTTGGTTGTTCGCTGAGAGATGTGAGCTTTGCATGCCGCATGGCGGTTGAGGTCTACGACGTACGGACCGGGAATGTACTCGGCACAAAGTTCTGCCACAAGGCAAAATCCAGGTACCACACATGTCTCTCGTCAATGAGGGTTGTGAAAGGACACGGCCGTCGCGGTGGATCTCCACCCACGAACTGGAGCAATGGCCAGCGGAGGATTTGATGGCATGGTGCCATGGTCGGACAAATACTCATACAGGGTTGCATGCCGTAATGTAAAACAGGCTTGAAGCAGGTGGCAATATTCTGCCTAGATTCCTCATGTTCCATCATGTTCTAACAGCTGAGCGCACCACTCGCCATCCTTGCCAGCCAGCAGCTGAGAGCATGATGTGGACTTGTTTTTACAGCAGGAAGGCTCAGCTTCAGTTCAGGCCAGACACAGTAGAGAAAAACAGAAAAGGGATGAAAGGGGCCTTGTTCTAGAAGCAAGCTTCTTGGGGAATCTGGCAAAACAGGCAGCGGTTGGAGCAGACCAACTCCAAGCAAGAAAATCAGCATGGTCCAGACCAGTACTCACAGAGAAAGACCGTAACACTGGATAATGTCAGACTGACCATGCACAAGCTTCACTTTCCCATGGGGCCTACATTGGCCTACATGGTGCTGCTGATGTGCATCGAGACTTGCGTTTGTGAGCGCTGCATATGCAGTGTGAAGGTACAATTCTTCCGATCGCCGCTGTCATCGGCCCCAGGCCTATGCACTTTGTTCCTTCAGGTGGAAGGTGGCAGGTTGTCGACAGACTTGACATGCGGGTTGTGCAGTAGCTTTGTTTGAGCAGTCATGCTGCTGAGTAGATACTGTACATGACATTGTCATGCTCGGGCTCAAGCTTTGATGTGGACTGCAAGACGCTGCCACTGAGCTTTCTCCGAGAATGCCCGTGGCCATGCAGGCGTGACTTGCGAGCAGGGATTAGGTGGCCCTTAGATTTTGAATCGGCACAAAATGCACAAATCACCGACAAGCCTAGCCTATCGTTCCTTTTTGCGTTTGTTCTAATTGTCACTGCTGCTGTTGCGACAGCCCAGGCTAGCTGCTTTTTGTTTGACAAGCCAGCTCCATAACATGGCTAGGAAGATGCCGTGCCGTTGACTGGCGTGGAGGGCGACTACGTGGCCCCAGCTGCACGGGACACCTACTTCCAAAACGAGCCCAACTTGATTGCTCCGTTCGATTTCGACTATGAACCTCGCATGCACTGCAAGAGGACCATGGCCGGTGGGTCATAGCAGGTCACAAATTTGTTCGTATAGAAAGGAACGTGTTGCCACTGTTTGGATGGAGGCAGGACACTAGCAAATTCCTCCACGCCCTGCAAAATCCCGCACGTCATGTGATCTCCCTCGAACATCTCGTCCACCGCAAGCAAACTGCTACGTAGGAAGCAAGGTTGTTAGATGAGGCTTGGTTAAGCATCGTCAAGCATCAACAGCCGAAACTGGGACCACGACCTGCATGAAATGTCGAGGAACCCAGCCTGAAATTTGATAGGGCCCTCATAAATCAAATAGGGAACAGAGGACATGCTGAACAAATCCAAATCGATTAAGTGATTGGACATAATTAAACAACGAGTTCATTCCAATTGGATTTCCATTTTATTGTATATGACGCGATCCTTAATTAGCATGTATGATTCCATAATGATCTCGGAGCCCCACTAGCTCATTATAAGGTGGCCCCTTTGACAAATTGTCTTGGACAAATCGTCATATATTTGGGGGGAGGATTCGTCTCTTTGGTGCAGTTCACCTGTGTAAGGACTTGATTATCGACTTCACCACGAAATTGTCTCTTGGCACGCAAGAGGAATCTTCAAAGATTCAGGGATGATGCATACGTCCATATACCTTGCCTACATCGCTAGCAAGATTTAGTTCAGGAGATGGGCACAATGCGTTTTTTTGCCTCCTGCTTGGGCATCGGCTCTTTGCTGTTGGCCCTGCTTCCTTCAGCAGAATGTGGAGTGGGATGCTCGCATTCCGGCCGCAAGCATGGTGTTTTAACTAGTTTGGTCAGAATAGCTCGTCAATACCATCCAGCGTTTCAATGACACTACCCTTGGAGCTTGTCAAATGGCAGATCCTGCCTCAGCTTGGATTCCGAGGTTCGCAACACGTTGCGTTGACGATTGATGGCATCCGGCGCCCTGACAACTTAAATTTGGACAGAAGCTGTTCCTGTTTTTGGTTGTTGGCCCCAATTACGATTTGACACTCTGTGCTAATTATCGGGATCAAGAATCTGAAGTCTACATTTTTCAGACCGACGCACACGTCATCCTCTGTCTCTACAGGTATGTCAAAGAGAAGAGGAAGACCTGCTGCGGACTGCCGTGCACCGACAAGGGCCGGGAAAGCAAGACAGTCCCCTATGACAAGATCACTGACTGCGACGTGCAGGATCCTTTGTAAAATCTTCAAACCAGCATTTCAATCCGTATGCTCTTGTTTGGAACGAAGGAGCCTGCTGGCACAGCGTGCTGTTGCTGCATTGAGCACTTCGTCCGCAAACACCAACGGTCTTAGGGTTTTCATCCCATAGCGCGCAGCATCACTTCAGGAACGTGCTCTCGAAAGTCCACATTGACACGGCCTCAAGCGGCGGAAAGGGAGACGGAGTTGCACAGCTCCCAGACGTGGGCTTCCGTTCCTCACAAGTGGCATCGTTGCAGATCCTTGGCCATGCTTATTGGAAATCGTGCAAACAACTGCGAGCAGGCCTTTCATGAGCTTGAGCTTCACGGCCTGGTGGATGCGCACGCGTTCAAACATTCGGTCCTTGGAATAGCAAACAAACAAATCCTGCATCAGTGCTTTACAGGTTGTTGTTCTCGTGCAGCGCCGAGTTTCTTGAGCCAAGGTTTGGGCCATGAAAAGGCGGGCAGCACCAGCCGGCTCGAACGTGCCGCTGGTTGTAGGGAAGCTTGGATGTGTCAAGTTGCGAATGTGTACCTGATTGCTAAGCTAATGGCCAGTGAGTGGCTCCTGCTCGCCTTTTAGAGCAAGATGTGATTAAGCTTACTTTGGCCACTGAGGAGGCCTGGTGCTGCGCATGGCGCTGCGCTGCTTGGCTTTGTCTCCGACAAGCTTCCAAGCATGCTTCATGCAGATGCTCTGGCAGGGCTTTGAAAGCCTTATATTGGGGATATATATTGGGGTTATAATATAGGGATAATGGAAAAGAAAATGGAAACTACTATAATAATGGGTTATACAGGGAATACTGCACCCCTTTGCATTGTAGCGCATCCTCAGGCCGGCCCAGCAGGAAATGTTGGAAGTTCTCCATGTGCAGGCCTCAGTGGAAGCCGCATTGCATCTGTCGGGGGTGACTGCAGACCTGTGGCAATCTGTTTGATGCCGACTTGGAGTGTGAATGTCATATTGCGTTACATATGTTCTCCCTCCGCTGAGGAGATCCGAGATGAGCTCAAGGTCATGAACCAGAAGCCCGGTTGCAGGGCCGTTTGTTGAGGACAAAGCATTCAGTCGAATATGAACATGGAAGTGGAAACTTATAAGGAAGATGGATCATCAAAAGGCTGCAAGCTAGGGACCGGAGGACGCATTTGGACGAGGCTGGGAGCAAACTATGCTGCATCACTATGGAAAGTGCTGAGTGTTCTCTACATAAAAACTAGGTACTCCAGTACGGCATAGGCCTCCATTTCTGCTGGCGCAGCACTACATGGATGTTGGTTGTTGGAATTCTTGGCAGAAAGAACAGTTGATGTGCAATATGAAGTGAGTTGGCTAGCAGAGGCCGAAATTGTAGCTTGCCAAGCGCGTTGGAGTTCTGCGACGGCTGCTAGTATGCCTATAATTTGTGAGAGACATGCCCGGCACGTTAGCGCAAGGCAGCTGGGCCAGCTGACCGCTTGGGTCAGGCAGGCCAAGGCCAACACCAGCAAAATTCATGCCCAAGATGTGCAGCAGTTGTGCTGGGCAATTTGTTTAACAACTGTTCTTTGCGTGAGGTTTTACCCTTTTCATGGGCAATACGGACGGAACACATCAGGCTCTCCTGAATTGGACGAGCCTTCGCGCAGTACTTTGTATCTTTAAAGTCCTTTGCGCCGGCACAACGGCAACGTGCGATTGAGCATCACGCAGTATGGAATGCAAGATCCCACCTTACTTGTGTTGTACCTGGGGTCGTTGACCGGTAGATGGGGGCTGTTCAGGGTGGTGATGCAGTTCCCCTAGGCTCCACCTGCAATCCTTAGGTCCAGTTGTGCTGTACAGCCATGCACGTGCGGCTTGTTAAGGTGGTTTGACTCGTGCTTGTGACTGGTGGTGCGCGAGCATCAAAACAGGAGTGCGACATGTGAGTGAGCTGAGCTTTCCGCACGATGCCAGCCGTTGGCCAATCCCTAGGCAGCCACTGCCGGCTAGAAAATGCATCTGAGTGCGCAGGCAGTAGCTGTTTTCTAAGACATACAAGGCATAAAAAGGTTGCCTGTTTCCATAGTTTACTGGCGATTCCTGGCGTGTTGCAGACTCTCGTTTTCTTGTTTGCAGGCCGGCCAGCAGGCACGAAGTTTTGCTTGGTCATTCTTCTTTCTGTTGACATGTCAGCATCTGCTTTGTGTGCATCATTTGCTTGTCATTCCAACTTCGGTTTCTAGGCACCGTAAGAGTTTGCGCGGCAAATGCGGTTGTGGATGAACTTGTTTGCATCATTAGCGAGGCATTCTGCTGAAGGCGTCAATCGTATGATCATTATGGTATTGTTACAGTACCATTATCGATTAGTACCTTATGATGATTATTATTACCATTGTTGTTTCTGCTCTTATTATAGTATTGCATGAATCCCTGTATGCAGGCGGTGGAATGCGATCGGACCGGCTCCGCCCATGCCTCGGATCACTTTGCGATCGAAGGTCGCGGAAAAGCGCATCCACTTTCCTATATAGTCATAACAGTAAGTATAATAGCATTATTTAATGGCTACCGCCA